TTCCAAACCTTTTCCTCCTTAGCCCTGCCTAGCCTCTCGGGATACCCGGAGCTGTGGCTAGAATAGGGTGCGACTGTGTAGATTGGGAACAGCAGAATTGTCTTAGTCTATACAGAAAGTGCTAAACACTTCTGAGTTCTAGCCCCATGTTTTCAACCCCCTCCAAACATCTCCACACCTGCTGTGTTAAGTCATTGCTTCCAGCCATGCCCCCTCAGATCTGACTGCCCTCTGTGTTTCCTGTCAAGGACTTTGACACCGGTGGCCACTGGTCACACAAATTCAAGTAATCTGAGCCTCCCCAACACCTTCTCCACTGTTTAAAAATTGTTATTTATTTATTTGAGAAGCAGAAAGAAAAAGAGAGTGACTGAGAGAGAGAACAAGTGCACTCCCCTAACTGCTGGCTCACTCCCCAGTGCCTCCAATGCATGAAACCAGGAACCAGAGGCTCACCCAGGTCTCCCACATGGGTGGCAGGAACCCAGTTACTTGAGCCATCACTTCTGTCTCCCAGGGTCTACATTAGCAGAAGCTGGAGCAAGGAGCCAGAGCCAGGTATCACATCCAGGTTCTCCGGTGATGTGGGACTCGGGCAGCTTACCTGCTAGGCCAGGTGCCCACCCCTCCATCTCCACTGCTAATTCCCATATCTTAGTGGTCACACAGTTTTCCTGCTTTTCTCCCCCTACTTGCTGCCCCTGGCTTGATTCAGAACCTCGTTATCTCTCATCGGAACTAATGCATCAGTCACCTAGGTAACCCCCCCCCCGGCTCCACCCATTCTTCATACTGCCACTAGTGGGCTTTTCCAAAGCATCCTTCAGTACAGCTCCCCCCCCCCCCCCGCCCCCATTCCTCACTCAAACCTGCCAGGATGAACCCAAACTCCTAAGTTGACTGTGGAAGCGTCTTCCCCATTTGGCCTCACCCTTACACTTCCCTGAGCCACCCTGAGCTGCAGCCACAGTGAGCGCCTTTCTGTGTCCCAGATACTCCGCACTTCTTGTTTTTTGTGGCCTGGAATGCTCTTCACTTTCTCTACAGGAAAACTTCTACTTACCCTTTGAAAACCAAATAAAAAATGTCACATCCTCCCTGAAACTGCCCCAACTTCTTCTGGCCCCATCACCTCCCCACTCTGCCGTGAGAGCACATTTGTTTATCACTATGAGGTTATGACTTCTCACTTCTTCCCCTGCCACCCACCAAATGATTGGGAAATACTCTCTGGCCCTCTTTGCATGACTTGGAGCTCCAGCACACAGCATAGTGCATGGAGCCTGGCTGATGGCTGCTCAGCATTTGCTGGCAGCATAGTTAAATAATGAAAGGACAACTTAGATTTGAACCCCTATCTGTTAGTTTCATATGAAGAGATATGGATAAGTAAGTCCAAATAATGGCTTAGTACTTTAGGGAATCGTATCTCAGGAAGCATGAACTTAGGGGGCAAGTCCTTTGGAATGTAAGTCATTCCAAATCTCCCTGTATAGATTCACCCACATCTGAGAGCTGCTCCAGTAGCCAGGGTAGATGGCCAGTGGAGCTGGGCATTTTGGAAGCAGAGCACATCCTACAGCTTCAAGTCTAGGGAGTTGGCAGGGGAGAAATGTCGGGGTGAACTCTGTGATGTCAGCAGTGGTTTCCTCCAGATCTGGGGAACTGAGGGCCATTTGATTTTCTTTGTGCTGTTAGTATTATCTAAGGTTTCTGTAATGAACATGTATGACTTGTTAGTAGGATGGTATTCTGTGATCCCTTCTGCCTGCTAGCTGGTACAGGCCCTGGGAGCAGCAGAGTGGGGGCCATGGCAGAGCAGACTGCGTGCCATGCACCAGGTGCTGTGCAAGCTGGCCCCTGCTCACTTTCCCATGTCATCTCCTGTACTTTCTGTTTTTACTATATAATATATATACTATATGTGTGTATATATATATATATATATCTATCTTTTTATTTAGTAGCTGCTTGCAGACCTTGTACTGTGGGCCACACAGTATTATAAGCACTTTGCAAATTTGAGGGGGTGTTCAGAAAGTTCATGGAAAATGTGTTATGGAAAAACTATGCATGGAATTCATTCATTTTTTTGCATCAAATTAGACTTAGCTTTAGCTTTTAATTCCATTTTCCCCAAACTTTCTTTTAAAAACACTTTGCACAGTTTATTTAATTATTTATGAAACAGGGACAGAGAGAGTGATAGAGGTAGAGGGACACGCAGAGCACTCTGTAGTTCATTCCCCAAGTACTTGCAACAGCTGGGGTGGGGTTGGGGCCAAAGCCAGGAGCAAGGAATGCAGTCTAGGGCTCCCACATGGGTGGCAAGAAGCCAACCACTTGAACCATCACTGCCACCTCCCAGAATCTGTGGTAGCAGAAAGCAGAAATCCTGAGGCAGCTCTGAGAATGGAGCCCGGGCACCCTGATGTGAGACCTCACCGGCGGCTTCAGTACTGGGCCGAATGCCCACCACCCACAAACTTTTTGAAGTACTCCCACATGAACTCATTTGATTCTCACAGCAAACCTGTGAAATAGATAGCATTATTACTCCCACTTCACAGATGAAACTGTTTATTTGCATGTGTTATTATGTTGGGATCTCTACTATCCTTTTGTGAAATGTGAGCCCCAGTTCTCAGTGCTCTCTTCACACTCCCTGGAGAGGAACCCCAGGGTGACCCAGAGTCTGGGTCGCTGAGTGAGAAGGGAGCGTTGGCACTCCTGAACCACAGCTCAGAGAGATTGCTGGGTTTGGTCACTGGTGTTTGGAGAGCAGCTTTAGCTGACCGTGAGGTGGGAGGCAGATGGCAGATGGTGGTTATCGAGTGAGTGGGTGGGTGGGAAGGAAGTGGATGTTGAGGGTGCAAACAGCTCTTTTGTGCGGGGAGGAGAGGAGTGGGGCAGTAGCAGGGCCGGAAGGGCGGTGCTTGGTCAGAGTGGGGAAGCCTGAATGTGTCTGTGCGTGGGAGAAGTAATTCTTAGATAAGGACGCCTCTCTCCCTCTGCTGGCTGAAGCCCAGTCTTCCTTCAGCATGGCCCCCTTGGGGTGGGGACTCCATGGAGCCTCTCACACCCTTGCAGCTGGGACACCCATGTGTTTGGTGGGCTTTGGGGTCAGTTGAGATCCTTGAGCTGCAGAGTGTGGAGAGTAGGGTGCACCTGCAGGGATACTGTGGTTGTGGTGGTGGTGGGGATGGAGTAACATCTGTGAAGTGCAAGCAGTGGTCTGTCTCCACGTTAGTGTCTCCTTGACCTTCTCTTCAGAGATTGGGTGAAAGGGAAGACAGAAGGGCCAAATCTTAAGAGGTCTTTTGAGCTGGGGGAAGAATGAAGGTGGGGTGTGCCCCCCAGGATGGCTGCTGTCTGGCCCCCAAGGCAGGGAGGGAGATTGTCCATTGAGGCGAGGGGAATGGGCAGGGTTTGTTGTTGCGAAGGGCCTGGTACTTTCTATGGAGGCCACCACGTTCTCTCCACTAGAGATACCAAAAGACCTGAAGAGCAGCAGCGAGGGCCTGGCTGGGAGAGAGGACAGGATTGGAGCAGGGTGCAAATGGACTAGGGAAAGGACGGGCAAACTAGGGTCTGGAAAACATGCCAAGAGGATATACATTCATGTGTGTGAGACACAGGTGGTGGTGGGAGAGGGGGAGAGGGAGAGAATGGAGGAGAGAGAGAAATAGAAATAGAGAGAAGGCACTGGTGAAATGGCAGCCAGAGTCCTGTTGGGGTAGGGGCTGCTGATAGCCAGAGAGTGGGCAGGTGTCCCAGTCTCATGGAGACAGTGGGGATGCAGAGTGGGTTCCTGGGAGCAGGAAAGGTTGCCAGTATTAGCAGAAGCAGTCGGGGACAGCCGAGTCACCCTAAGCGCCACAGTGTTCTCATCTCCCTGCTTCTCCTCCTGCTCTCTACTGCGTGCATACCTAGCAAGTGAAAAGCAACCCTGGTCACTGTCCAGCTTTTAGTGTGGAACGTTTTCAGTTCATCTTATTCGGCAAATACTTTGTAATTAGTAATTTTTATGGGTGCATCATGTCACCTTTGCACAGACTGCTTTGTGTTGTTTTGAATAGATGCTCAGGTGTGAGATTACTGCGCTCAAGGGTGACAGTGACTTTGGGGAGAAGGATCTTGCTGTCCCTGAGTTCATTGCTGCAGGCACATCTGCATTGAGCAGGGAGGAGAGGAGAGCGTTTGTGTGAGTAGCCTAAGTCACCTGCGTGACTGAGCTCTCTGAGTGCTGTCTCTCCTGGGAAAATAGAGCTGCCTGGAGTTTGCGACGGTGATTGAGTGAACGGAGCTTTCATTGGTTTGGTCTTTGATGCTGTCTCTAGAGGGGCTCTCATCAAGAAGTTGAAGCAGGTTCTGTCTGGGAGGGGAAGGCAGCAGTGAAAGGGAGTCTGTTTGTGTCCTAGACGTTTGAGGACAAGGACAGAAAAGTTTCCTCTTGAGAAACCGAAGGACTGAATTTTGATTAAAGTTCATCACAGTGCTAAGTGTTTTGGATAATTTTAACAGTTAAAAGGAGACAATGGGGGCCGGGGCTGTGGCGCAGTAGGTTAATCCACTTGCGGCCCTGGAATCCCACAGGGCACCAGTTCTGGTCCCGGCTGCTCATCCTCTGATCCAGCTCTCTGCTGTGGCCTGGGAAAGCAGTAGAAGATGTCCTAGGCACTTGGGCCCCTGCACCCTCATGGGAGATCTGGAAGAAGCTCCTGGCTCCTGGCTTCAAATTGGCGCAGCTCTGGCCATTGCAGCCATTTGGGCAGTGAACCAGCAGATGGAAGACCTTTCTCTGTCTCTCCCTCTTACTCTCTGTAACTCTACCTTGCAAATAAATAAAACCTTAAAAAAAAAAAAAAGGAGACATGATTAGATAATTATTTAGGAAATTTGTGATTTAATAACTTCATTAACACATATTAGTGCTATTAACATTGTTTTTGATATCAGCCATGGTTTGTAATGCTCCCCCCCTTTTTTTCTTTTAACAGAAAAAATACAGAAAAGGATTTATTGATATTTCCAAAATCAAATGTGTGGAAATAGTGAAGAATGATGACGCTGTCATTCCCTGTCAAAATAAGTATCCATTTCAGGTGAGCTGGCAGCTTTAATCATGTTTGCTGTTTGACATCAGTTTCCTGACATCCTTTGGCGACTGCTTTTTGGGTTTATTTGCCACTTTGATAATAATTGCTTTTTCCTGTGAATAGCTTAAATCTTTGGTGAAATGTGGGCTCATTCATATTTTGATCTGTTAAGACTCTGCTAATGGTCCCAAGTGTTTCAACTCCAGATCTTATTCTCCACTGTTCAGACTTGTCAGGGAGCAGTTAGGATAAGCAGTAGAGGCTGAGGCCAGGTGCAGTGGGGTGAAGTTTTCCCCATGACTTTGAGGAGCTGAGTAAGGGCAGCAGCGAGTTCCTCTCAAGCAGAAATGAGATGACAAAGCTATGTATGTTGAAAAAATATACTAAGCATTATATATTGATTAAACTGTGCTTTTTAAAGGGTAATCCTGTAATTTCATTTTTTCCCCTCAGAATGATCCTGTCACATAAGGAGGGGCCATGTCATAGCATTCTCATTGATGCCTCTGAGGAAACTGAGGCTCCCAAATGCTGAATGGGTTATGCAGTGCCACTTTGTGAATTTAAAGCATGCACGTTCCCAAGGAGGATAAAGTGTGGCATCCGGGCCTGTGCACCTGGCAGGTGGACCCATGCTGTGACAACTCAGGCAGCACAGGGACCCCCTGCAGCAGCAAATCCCCCTCTTCTCTGGTGGAGGACGTTTTGATGTTTTCCAGTGAGCAGTGAACGTCCCAAGTGAAAGTCGCCTTTCACCCAGCTGTGGTCTCACCACGTCCTGAGGGGAAGGTTGCAGAACTATTTCTCAATGTAATGTCCCCGTGCTGTTCTGTGGTTTTTCATGGGTACCATGAGATTATCTACCACATTTGAAACGAACGTGTACTGGGTTGGGAAATGAAGATGACCTGGAAGCCGTGAGCTACAGTATCAGAGTTTTAGAATGGTGTCTGCATTATTCTCCACTACAGGGCTGCTACATGGAGGGAGGAAGGCTTGCGTGTCATTTCCTTCCCTGCATCCCTTTCTTTTTATCTGCATTTTTCTATTTGAGGAGCAGAGCGAGCCAAGTGCTCACAGGGGCAACCCTGGCTTCAAGTCATTTAGCATCCCGTGTCCTTCTCCTCTTCTGAAAACTGGGAACTGAGGGCTGTGAGATGTTTTGGGGGCTGGCAGGCAGTTGTGAGGAGCTACATGTCTCTTGATCTGGGACCGAGATTTTTTTCCCCAGGGAAAGGGATCTACGTTGCAAACTTTGGATTTTTTTTTTTAATTTATTTTATTTATTTGAAAGACTTACAGAGAGAGGTAGAGACAGAGAGAGAGGTCTTCCATCCACTGGTTCACTCCCCAGATGGCTGCAATGGCCGGAGCTGCACCAAGCCAAAGCCAAGAGCCAGGAGCTTCCTCCGGGTCTCCCATGTGGGTGCAGGGGCCCAAGGACTTGGACCATCTTCTACTGCTATCCCAGGTCATAGCAGAGAGCTGGATTGGAAGAGGAGCAGCTGGTACTAGAACTGGCATCCATATGGGATGCTGGCACTTCAGGCCAGGGCGTTAACCCGCTGTGCCACAGCGCCAGCCCATGGCTTGGTTTTAAGAATGATGATGGGAGGCTGGTGCTGGGTGTAGTAGATTAAACCACTGCCTGCAGTGCCGGCATCCCATATGGGTTCTGGTTCAAGTCCCAGCTGCTCCACTTCCAATCCAGCTCCCTGCTAACGGCCTAGGAAAGCAGTGGAAGATGGCCCAAGTGCCTGCCCCTGCACTCATGTGGGAGACCTGGAAAAAGCTCCTAGTTCCTGGTTTTGGACCAGCTCAGCTCCAGCTGTTATGGCCATACGGGGAGTGAACCAGTGGATGAAAGATTGATCTCTCTGTCTCTGTAACTCTGCTTTTCAATTAAATAAATAAATAAATTTTTTTTAAAGAATGATGATAAAAATAGAATAGAAAGCATTCCATCCTTGAACTACTGTAAATTGTTGAGATGAATAAATGTACGAACAATTAACAAAGATTCACTACCCCTAGAACTGCCCAAGAACTACTAAAGGAAGTTTCACCACTACTGGTGGCCAGTCATTTGGCACAGCAGTTAAGACACTGCTTGGGATGCCCACTCCCATATTAAAAGTGCCTGGGTTTGAATTCCAGCTCTGGCTCCTGATTCCAGCTTCCTGTTAATGCAAACCCTAGGAGGCAGCAGTGATGCCTTAAGTAACTGGGCTCCTGCCACAAAGGTCGGAGACCTAGATTGTGTCCCCAGCTGTTGGCTTCAGCCTCAACTATTGCAGGCATTTTGGGCATGAACTATTGGATAGGAGTGCTGTCTGTCTCTCTGCCTTGCATATACATTTAACAAAATTTTAAATTGCATCCAGTTCAGGTGCAAGATGAAAAAGTAAAAGTAGAAGTAGACATTTTCAAAAGGGGGTTGCTTCCTCTTGCAGCATGTTGTAGCCCTGGGACAGGCTGGAGGGACCTGGCAGGAAGAGGACCACCTGCCTATAGGATACCTGCTCATTGCTTCCTAGGATGAGTCCTGTCTGATGGCAGCTGGGAGTTTCCCCGAAGGGTGTCCTGTCTTTCCTGGGTTTTAAATCCAGATCTGCCTGTCTATCTAATGTTGGGATGGGGAACATCTGACTCACAGGCTGTAGGAAGCCTGTGAAATCACTTGGTGTGGCCCTGCCAAGATAACCTCAGGTGGGACTCAAAATTCAATACATCTGCAGCAGTCTAATGTTTAAGTTGATAATTTTGCGTGGCCCACAGATGGTGTTATAAATATCTAAATGGCCCTTGGCAGAAAAAGTGTTCTCCAACCCTGACAAATCCTTCCTTCCTTCCTTCCTTCCTTCCTTCCTTCCTTCCTTCCTTCCTTCAGTAGAGTTACAGAGAGAGAGAGAGGGAGAGAAAGGGAGAGAGGGAGAGACACAGAGAAAAAGAGAATGCTCAATTTGTTGGTTCACTCCCTAAATGGCCGCAACAGCTGGAGGTAGGCTGATCCAAAGCCAGGTGCCAAGAGCTTCTTTAGGGTCTCCCACATGGGTTCAAGTGCCCAAGCACTTGGGCCATCTTCCACTGCTTTCTCAAGTGCATTACCAGGGAGCTGGATCGGAAGTGAAACATCTGGAACTTGAACTGGCACCCATATGGGATGCAGCATCCCAGGCAGTGGTTTTACCCATTGTGCCACAATGCTGGCCCCCTTCTTCTTCTATACCACAACTATCATTAAAAGTCTGTTGAGGGGCTGGCACTGTGGCGCAGTGGGTTAAAGCCCTGGCCTGAAGCGCCGGCATCCCATATGGGCTCTGGCTCTAGTCCTGGCTGCTCCTCTTCTGATCTAGCTCTCTGCTATGGCTTGGGAAAGCAGTAGAAGATGGCCCAGGTGCTTGGGCCCCTGCACCCACATGGGAGACCAGGAAGAAGCTCCTGGCTCCTGAATTCAGATCGGTGCAGCTCCGGCTGTTGCGGTCATCTGGGGGGTGAACCAGCAGATGGAAGACTCTCTCTCTCTCTCCCTCTCTCTCCCTCTCTCTCCCTCTCTCTGCCTCTCCCTCTCCCTCTCCCTCCCCCTCCCCCCCTTCCTCTCCCTCTCCCTGTCTCTGTCTCTGTCTCTCTCTGTAACTCTTTCAAGTAAATAAAATAAATCTTTAAAAAAAAAGTCTGTTGAGAGCTGGGCATTTGGCCTAGTTGTTAAGATGCCTGCATCTCACATTGGAGTGCCTAGATATTATCCCTGGCTCCTGTTCCTGATTCCCATTTCCTGTTAATGCAGACCTGAGAGGCAGCAGGTGGATGCTTCTTTGAGTAACCCATGTGGGAGACCTGGATTGAGTTCCTAGTTCCTGGCTTTGGCCTGGCCCAGCCCTGGCTATTGCTGACATTTGAGGGATGAACCACTGGGGATAGGAGGTGTGTTTGTGTTTGTGTGTGTGTGTGTGTGTGTGTGTATGTGTTTCTTTCTCACCATCTCTCAAACAACAAAGTCTACTGAATAGATAAATGAGTGAGCAAAGACTTAAAGAGGAGGGAGGCTCACAACTAACTATCCGTGAGGGAGAGGCTTCCTCCTGCTGGAAATGGCTTCTGCCACAGCCTCTGCTGTGGAGGGTGACTCGCGACACACGAGAAACCTGGCTCCCCAGATCTACCCTGCCGTGGGAGCTGTCCACACGGATGCCCGAGGAGGGGGCCTACATGAATGACCTGGGGTTTGCTGAGGGAAAGACACGAGCCCTGAATATCTCTTCTTGCCTTCTAAACTACCTGAGATGCTGATTTGTTATTTGGGTTTAGGATGGGGTTTTCTAGAAACTTACTGGAGAAACCAGTGTCCCAAGTTAGCTAAGTAATACATCAAAACTGAGTTGGTGTTGGTTTTTGTTTTATTAGCTAATCTTGAACAAGATTTAACAAAATTACAAGCTCATGGTACAGACAGGAGGTGAGTTTGGAGAGTAGGTTAGGCTGTGTGGAGCTTGGAAAGGCAGATTCTAGGAGAGTCAGGGGCAGCATAGGAGAAACCCCATGAATAAGAGAAGCCTTCGGGGATCAAGCAGATCCCACTCCCGTGACTGAACCTCACCCGCTTTGCTTTTCTCTTATGGAAAGTGAGGCTTCTAGCCACTAATACACACCTGGGCTGTTACCCAGATTAAAAGAGGCCATGTGTATAAAATGCTTAGACCAGAGTAGGCACTTGGTAAATAAAATTATTATAATAGTTTGTAATAAAGTAAATTATTCTTATAATACACCTGAAAGCCCAACTGTAGCAGTTTTTTTCCAGATACCTCTGTCAATTCAGAATGACTGTTTCATGGTGCATTTTAAACTCATTCCTCCATACAGAGTTGGTTGCATGGGAAAACCTGGGTGAGGTGTGAAAGTCACATAGAGAATGAAGAAACTTATCTCCCACATCTGCTCTTCTTTATCTCTCTGATACTGTGTCTCCTGTCCTATCTGGTAATTAGGTATTTCTAAACATATTTCGAAAACAGGTTTGACGTTTGGTTCATTTTTGTGTCCTGCAAAATTAGTTTCTCAGGCTTCATTTTGTTATTAATATGAAATATGGAGAAAAATAAGACCATTGAGTTGACCATGAGAGGCGACCTCTACAACAGTTGCCATGGTGGAGAGCTTGGGCTCTGGAATGAGAGTCCTGGCTTTCTATGCCACCAGCCCGTGATGAATGACAGGTCCGCAGCACAACATGAGGGGATGCATTTGCATTGCCTGCTGTGTGAGTGGCGCCCCCTGCAGTTACAGTGGAGTGAAGGGCCTGTGGATGTGCCTCACACTCCTCATTTGTAAAATGGAAAGGCTGATCTCTGGGCGGTAGGATTGAGTGAATGTCTGTAAGGCACATACCCCAGGCTTGCTAGAGGTCTCACTGCAGTCAGTGACAGTGGCACTGACAGTGGAGTGATGCCGAATGAGAAGTCCACTCATTTCAAATTGTCTTGAAAAATACTGGCTGAGAATAATCCCTGTTACCACCAATATGTTTAAGGAATTTTAGTTAATTGGGTTGAAAGCAATACTGAGGTTAATGAAGCAGCCTGGCCCCTGGATATTTTTTTCCCAAAACAGAGTCTTGCAAAATGTGTGTCCTTCTTGATGTGGAAACAAAGGAATAAGTGTGCTTTTTTAAGAAAGGGCCTGCACTGTGGTACAGCGGGTTAACGCCCTGGCCTGAAGCACTGGCATCCATGTGGGTTAGAGTCCCGGCTGCTCCACTTCCAATCCAGCTCTCTGCTATGGCCTGGGAAAGCAGTAGAAGATGGCCCAAGTCCTTGGGCCCCTGCACCTGCATGGAAGACCCAGAAGAAGTTCCTGGCTCCGGGCTTTGGATCGGCCCAGCTCTGGCTGTTGCAGCCAATTGGGGAGTGAACCATTGGATGGAAGACTTTCTCTCTCTCTCTCTGCCTCTCCTCTCTCTGTGTAACTCTGACTTTCAAATAAATAAATAAATCTTTTTTTTTTTTTTTTTTTTTTTTTTTGTTAAAGAAAGGCAGTTAGGTTCTTTGGGTCTGAAGTAGTTGACTGTTACTCAGACATTCAGGAATTATATATTGGTGCCTGTGGTACCAAGGGCTCTGGGCAAGACAGAAATGCTGTGTCTAAATATTTCTCATTGAGTTCTTCTTTTATTTTAGGTTGTCCACGATGCAAATACACTTTACATTTTTGCACCTAGTGCCCATAGCAGGGACCAGTGGGTGAAGAAATTAAAAGAAGGTAAAGCTCATATAAATGAAAGATTAATGTGTTCATAATTTTAGGAGATATAACATTGCCATCACTATCACAGAAATGTAGCTAGTGTAATTCTTGCATTTATAATCTCCTAACATGGAGTGACTTTCTTCAAGGATATTCTGTTACTATAAATGATACCAACATGCTAAAGATAACTTCCCTTTTGAAAATGTAATTCTTGGGGCTGGTGTTGTGATGTGGTGCATAAGGCTGCCACCTGCGATACCGGCAATCCCATTTGGGCATGGTTCGAGTCCCTGCTGTTCTACTTCTGACCCAGTTCCCTGCTAATGGCTTGGAAAAAGCAGCGGAGGATGGTCCAAGCATTTGGTCCTCTGCCATCCACATGGGAGACCCAGATGAACATCCTGGCTTCATACTGGCCCAGCCCTAGCTGTTGAAGCCCTCTGGGGAGTAAAATACTAGGTGGAAGAACCCTCTCTCTGTAACTGGGAAGTTCAAAATAAATAAATAAATAACTCTTTAAAAAAAAGTAATAAAATCTGAGTCTTCCTACTGGCATATAGGTAGCTTTTAAGAAAAGCCTGATTCTTGGGACTGGTGCTGTGGCGCAACGGGTTAACGCCCTGGCCTGAAATGCCGGCATCCCATATGGGCGCCGGTTCGAGTCCTGGTTGCTCCACTTCCGATCCAGCTCCCTGCTATGGCCTGGGAAAGCAGTAGAAGATGGCCCAAGTCCTTGGGCCCCTGCACCCATGTGGGAGACCTGGAGGAAGCTCCAGGCTCCTGGCTTCGGATTGGCACATCTCCAGCTATTGTGGCCAATTGGGGAGTGAACCATCGGAAGACCTTTCTCTCTCTCTCTCTCTCTCTCTGCCTCTCCTCTCTCTGTGTAACTCTGACTTTCAAATAAATAAATAAATATTTAAAAAAGAAAAGAAAAGCCTGCTTCCATTGAAGTGTAATATATCTGAAAGTGGTAACACATGGACTTTCGTGAGAACACAATTCTGTATTTTCTAGGAAATTGCCTGTGTTGTCAACATTTGGTGTAGATGGGTTGATGTATACCTCAGTGGTTATATGGGTGATTACTTTTGCACAATGCTTATCACTTCTACAGAAAAAATGGTGGTGGAGCAACTTTTACATTGATCCATCATGATGTAGCAGCAGTCACTTCTGCTAAAAAGGGTGTTTCACCAAACACAGGAAGAGAAAGAGAATCATTTGGCTTTTACTGCAGAGTCCTATGATGTTGAAGTATTCTTATGATAAACAGGGCATCCAAGGAATAAGTAATGTAGTCTCTAATCATTACTATATCTGTGAATTACAGAAATAAAGAACAACAATAATATTATGATTAAATATCATCCTAAATTCTGGGCAGACGGAAGCTATCAGTGTTGCAGACAAACTGAAAAACTAGCTCCTGGATGTGAAAAATACAACCTTTTTGAAAGTAGTGAGTATTCATCTTCTATAATTGTACTCAGAACGAGCGTGTTACTAGCATGATGGGAAAGTGAAATGATTTTGATCAAGTATATCATACTTTGTATTATGATGTTAATGTAGGGTAGATAAGAATAGTTATATTTGATTAGCAGTGGGACCTGGTTGTGGAATCAAAATGTCTTCTTTGGGGAGTTACAGTGTTGAAACCTGTTAAAAAGGAACCTGTTAACAGCATGAGCCTAATATGGCACTGTCGGCAGCTCTTCTCCAACGTTTCTGTGTTCTCTTCCCAGACGTGTAGCTAGAAACCTCCTAGAATAGTGCCTCTACAGTCTGAGTAGGGCTGTTCTCATTCTGATGGGGCTTGGCAATTTGGGTTTTACTAGAGGCTTGGCAATTTGGGTTTTACTAGCGGCTTCCTAATTTGACAGAGGTGTCATGATGATGCCACCATGTAAATGATCAGATGAATCAATATTTTGACACCTAAGACCCTTATTCTAAATCCTGGAAGTGAGAGGCCCTTAGTCACAGGCCAAACACGTTTCAGATTGTTGATGCTCTGAGAGACCGCTCAGAATAATTGGGTAGGCTGTACTTCTCTTTTCCTACTCATGCCATGCAAAGTGCCTCACCTGCCAGGCAGGGCTGGTCAAGCTTCTGGCTGTGAGCAGAATGGTCATTCAGCAGGGTGCGTCTCTGTGCCGGAGGCTGGACCAGACGACCTTCTTGGTCCATGTAGCCCTCAGTTCTTTTTTTTTTTTAATTTTTTTTTTTTTTTTTTGATAGGCAGAGTGGACAGTGAGAGAGAGAGACAGAGAGAAAGGTCTTCCTTTTGCCATTGGTTCACCCTCCAATGGCCGCCGCGGCCGGCGCGCTGTGCCCGGCGCACCGCGCTGATCCGATGGCAGGAGCCAGGAGCCAGGTGCTTTTCCTGGTCTCCCATGGGGTGCAGGGCCCAAGCACCTGGGCCATCCTCCACTGCACTCCCTGGCCACAGCAGAGGGCTGGCCTGGAAGAGGGGCAACTGGGACAGAATCCGGCACCCCGACCGGGACTAGAACCCGGTGTGCCGGCGCCGCTAGGCGGAGGATTAGCCTAGTGAGCCGCGGCACCGGCCCATGTAGCCCTCAGTTCTATGGGGCCTGGCCTCCTGATTCTCCTGGCATGTCTTGACATTAATTCTGCACATTAAGGAGAAGGATTCACATCTTCAAGGCTGTTATTGTTTCAATTTTTTAAGATTTGGCAGTAGTTAATGCACACAGACTGGTCTGCTCTAAGAAGAGACCCCAAAATTACAATGACTTAAACTAGAGAGAAATTTATTTCAGTCCCAGGTAGGAGCCCAGTGGCATATGGCTGGTAGGGTGGTCTTGCAAGTGGTTCTGGGGATCACTCCAGCTCTCAGTCTTTCTCTTCTGGGTAGCAGAAAGAGGGAAAGAAACCACAGGCCCACAGGAAGGCCTTTCAGGGACTTGATACGTAGTTGGCAACCCAGGGCAGCGATAGTGGCACAGCAGGTTAAGCCACCACATGCGATGCCTGCATCCCATAACAGATTGCTCATGGTCCAACTCCATTTCTGCTTCCAATGGAGCTTCCTGCTAGTGCCCACCCTGGAAACCAGCAAACTAGCCCAGCCTTGGCTGTTGTGGGCGTTTAAAAATAAAATCAACTTAAAAAATAAAAATAATGCAACCCATTTGTACATAGAGGCCTTTTTAAAAAATATATTTATTTATTTGAAAGACAGAATTATAGAGAAGCAGAGGCAGAGAGAGAGAGAGGTCTTCCATCCACTGGTTCACTCCCCAAATGGCTGTAACAGCCAGAGCTGGGCCGACCCGACCCAGGAGCCAGAAGCCTCCTCCAGGTCTACTGTGAGTGCAGGGGCCCAAGGACTTGGGCCATCTTCCACTGCTTTCCCAGGCCATAGTGGAGAGCTAGATCAGAAGTGGAGCAGCCAGGACTTGAACCAGCGCCCATGTGTGATGCTGGTACTATAGGTGGCAGCCCTACCTGCTACACCACTGCGCCAGCCCCACATAGAGGCCTTTGATTAGAATTTGGTTCCTTGCCCACACCTAGCTGAGAACTGCCATCATTAGCAGGGTAGCTGTGAGCCAGCCAAAACTCTAGGAAACAGAGGAAAGGGCAGACTGCCTTATTAATTTCTCCGTTGTTGTCATTAGATCAACTTACTGCTTCACACAGCAAACAATATTGAAGGTGTATGCAGTGGAAGGGAAATGAAGAGTATGGTGTGGCCCTAATCCCCATGGCATTTTTAGTCTGTTCAGAAAGGCAGAAATACAACCAGCTGTGAAAGCAGGTTTTATTTCGGTTCTAGAATTGTGATAAGAGCAACATGCCGTCAATCAGAGTGAGTTTCTTATCTATGTGTTAATTGCCACTTTTTCTTAAAACTATCAGTGTCTTTCTCAGTTCATAGTAAATGGCATTTTAACCCGTTTTTGTTGTTGGCATTTTCAGGTATAAGAAAAGCACTACCTCCAGCACCAGAAACAAAGAAGGTAAGTGGTCATTAACTTGTGAGTGTCTGGTCTTTACATTTGAAGACTTCAAGCCATTAAGTTTGGGGAGCATTTGTGGCTTATTAAGTGTATTGATATTCATTCATGTGGCCCTATTTCTCCACAGGACTGTTCCAGAACAGATGTACTCTGGCCTATTTGGATTTTTCTTGGTGTCAAATAACATCAATTTAATTGTATCAGATCTTATCACTGGGGGTCTTGTTATTGTCTGGCATTTTGCCTGTGTGAGGGTACTTCAAAAAGTTTCTGGAAGGTGGAATTAAAAGATAAGTTTATTTTGGTATAAAAAATTTGAAATTCATGCATTTTTAAGATAATATGAATTTTAGGAGCCAGTGTTGTGGTAGTGTGGCGTAAGCTGCTGCCTCTGATGCCAGGATCCTATATGGGTGCTGGTTCGAGTTCCGGCTGCCCTGCTTCCTATCAGCTCACTGCTAATGTGCCTGGGAAAGCAGAGAAAGATGGCTCAAGTACTTGGACAGCTGCCACTCACATGAAAGACCTGGATGAAGTTCCAGGCTCCTGGTTTCAACCTGGCCCAGCCCGTACTTTTGCAGCCATTTGGGGAGTGAACCAGTGGATGGACAATCTGTGTGTCTGTCTGTCTCTCTCCTTCTCTCCCTATAACTCTGCTTTTCAAATACATAAAATAAATATATATTAAAAATGCATTTCCACGAACTTTTGAAGATCTATTGTATTCATGAATTTCAAACTTTTTTTTGGCACCAAAACCAACTTATCTTTAAATTCTGTTGGTCCGTGAACTCTTGAAGTCCGCCTTTGGCTGGAAGAGTTGGATGAGAGGTGTGGGACTTTAACAGAATATTTCAGTCTGGAGACCATGCTGTGACAGAGGAATGACTTCTGTGCTTTCGTGATCTGCCTTTGACAAGTGGGTGTGGTGGAAAAAGCCTGCGTCTTGGGCCCCATCAGAATCTGATCTCTCGTGACTCCGATATGAATGGCTTTGGGTGTGTTGCTTAAAGCACTCCTTACCTCAGTTGTAAGATGGGGCTTATAATACTCTGCATCATGGGAGCAGTAGTCAGAATAAACAGAAGCATGGTAGGTCCCCAGCACAGGCCTTACCCACTGTGCAGGTCCCCGGCACAGGCCTTGCCCACTGTTGGCACAAAGAAGTACAAGTTCTTTTGAGCGGGAAGAGCCTTGGTGTGAGGGCTTTGCTCCACTGAAGGCCATTTGAACGGTGGGCCTTCCTTTAGTTCCTACTTGCATCTTACCCTTGTCTTCCCCCTGACGCTGAGTGAATCCCTTTAACGTGTGAAGCAGGTGTTGCTCCTCTCCTGCATTCTGGCCTCGCGAGAAATCCAGTAGCATCCACATCATGGGACACTCGCGGGATTAGACGAGCTGACCTCTATTAGAGTTGAGGCTTCTGCTTTCTTCTTTTTTATTGATGTGAGCAGACCCCCTTGGCGATCTACTCCGTGGCCGGTTTCCAAGAGGAGACTAAACTTTCAGCTGTTGTCTTCTTTGTTTAGCGGAGGCCTCCCCCACCAGTTCCGCCTGAAGAAGAAGATAACGGAGAGGAAATCGTTGTGGCGATGTATGATTTCTATGCGACGGAAGCACATGATCTGCGCCTAGAGAGAGGCCAGGAGTACATCATCCTAGAGAAGAACGATGTTCATTGGTGGAGAGCGAGAGATAAATACGGGTCAGTGCTCCCTGTCTGTGTGACACGCAACAGGTGGGGGAGTGCTGGGTGAAAGGAGGAAGAGCTGTAACTGTCACCTAATCAGACCAGTCCAGGCGGCCGTAGCTGGAAGCACGTGTTATTACTCTGCATTCTGGACAAGTTGATCAGTCACTTCTTTCCAGAAGTTAGAACATTTTAAAAAATTTATTTATTTGAGGCTGGCACTGTGGCACAGCAGGTTAATGCCCTGGCCTGAAGCACCAGTATCCCATATGGGCTCCGGTTCAAGACCCAGCTGCTCCTCTTCCAATCCAGCTCTCTGCTATGGCCTGGGAAAGCAGTGGAAGATGACCCAAGTCCTTGGGCCCCTGCACCCATGTGGGAGACCTGGAGGAAGCTCCTGGCTCCTGGCTCCTGGCTTTGAATCAGCACAGCTCTGGCCATTGCAGCCAATTGGGGAGTGAACCATCGGATGGGAGATCTCTCTCTCTCTCTTCCTCTCCTCTCTCTTTGTAACTCAGACTTTCAAATAAATAAATTAAAAAAATTATTTATTTGAGAGGTAGAGCTCCAGATAGAGGGAAAGACAGAAAAGTCCTCTACCCACTGGTTCACTCCCCAAATGGCTGCAATGGCCAGAGCTGGGCAAGGAGCCAGGAACTTCTTGCAGGTCTCCCACATGGGTGCAGAGGCCCAGGTACTTGGGCCATCTTCCACTGCTTTCCCAGGTCATAGCAGAGAGCTGGATCAGAAGAGAAGCAGCCAGGACACAAATCGGCACCCATGTAGGATGCCAGCCCCACACGCAGAGGTTTAGCCTACTATGCCATAGCATCGGCCCCCAGAAGTTAAATTATTTTGCACTGCTGTCTTTCTCATCCATTATATGTTTGATTAGACTATTTTGATCTTGGAGGAGATTACCATTTTATGTTTGTGCCCCCTGTAGTAAGTAATCTTAGAGTTTTTAAAGAAGTAGCCTATTGTAATTTGCTTCTTGGAATCTCTCTCCATATATGAGGATGTATGTGTCTGTGTGTATATAAAGTCCTCACTGCCTCTCTTGGCCAGTCACTGTATAAGATTTTCATTTTTAACTTTGTAATGTAAAACATTTCTAACATTCACAAAAGTACAGATAGTGTGATATAGCCTCTTGTCACCTGACTTTAAAAATCAATATTTTAATAATATTTTGAAAAAATTGTACTTACCTATTTTATTTGAAAGGTATAGAGCCAGAGACAGAGAGGTCTTCCATCAGCTGTTTTGCTACTCAAATGCCGGTGACAACTGGGGCTGCGTTAGGCGGAAAGAAGCTGGGAGCCCAGAAATTCTGGGCCTCGCACTTGAGTGGCAGGAACTCAAATGCTTGAACAATTACTTGCTGTTTCCCAGAGTGTGCATTAGCAGAAAGCTGGAATTGGAAGTGGAGCAGGGACTCAAACCCAAATGCTCCAGTATGGGATGCAAGCCCAAGCAGCATCCAGGCTACTTAAACTCAGGTAGTCACATAATTTCACTCTGAAGTATAACTGTCAAAGGATTTCTTAAAAAAAAAAAAAAAACCTCATGTCATTACCATACTGAATCATTAAAAATAAAAAGCTGTTTGTAGATATTTGACAGATATATATATTTTTAAGATTTATTTATTTATTTGAAAGTCAGAGTTACAGAGAGGCAGTTGTAGAGAAAGAGAAGGTTTTCCATCTGCTGAATAACTCCCCAGATGGCCACAATGGCCAGAGTTGCGTCTATCTGAAGCCAGGAATCAGGGGCTTCTTTGGGGTCTCCCACATGGGTGCAGGGGCCCAAGGACTTGGGCCATTTTCTATGCTTTCCCAGGCTATAGCAGAGAGCTGGATTGGAAGTGGAGCAGCTGGGACTTGAACCGGCACCCATATGGGATGCCAGCACTGCAAGCTGTGCCACAGTCCTGGCCCTGATGGATATGTTTTGATAATGGCGTGGAAGGTGAGGTTGGAATTTAGGGATCCATGCCAGACTGTGGCAGTGCATGGAAAGCTGTCTCTGGGGCTGTCCCCTTCCCTCTCCCCTCCTGCCCTGGCTCCATCTCTTATGCACTATGTGGATCTTCTAGCCTGTACATCTGGGCTCTGTGCACATTGCTTGAAAAAGCCATCCCTTGGGCCTTGGTGGAAGGAAGTAAGCATGGCTAGCCAACACAGTTTGTTTTTTGGAAGATATACTAAGGGGGAAGGCCCATGTGGACCTTAGAAATGGCCAAGGGATAATGGGGTGACAGTTACCCAGGTGATGTTCTAAAAAGTGGGCTGAGGGAACATGGGCCTTGGCAGAGCTCTCAAAAATATGGGATTGGGGCCAGCTCCATGGCATAGTGGGCTAAGCCTCTGCCTGTGATGCCAGCGTCCCATCCAGATGCCGGTTCCAGTCCTGGCTGCTCCTATTCCAACCCAGCTCTCTGCTATGGCCCGGGAAAGCAGCAGAGGATGGCCCAAGTGCTTGGGCCCTACACCCACATGGAGACCCGGAAGAAGCACCAGGCTCCTGGCTTCGGATTGGCCCAGCTGCAGCCATTGGGACCATTTAGGAAGTGAACCAGCAGATGGGAGACCTCTCTGTCTCTCCCTCTCTCTGTCTATAACTCTGCCTCTCAAATAAATAAATAAATATATTTTTTAAAAAAATATGGGATCAGAGCAGGGCGTCTTTTGTCCCAGGTCCAAGGATGGTACCCATGATCTAATTATTTCCTCTGATCAGCTGTAATATGTATTCTTATAGTTGGCTTGTTCAAATCAGGGTCTTCACATGGTCCACTTATGCAGTTTTGACTGATAATGTCTGTTTTGCTTCTTTTATTCTATAATGGCTCTATCCTTTTTTTTTTTTTCATTTTTGACTTATTGGTAAAACTAGTTCATTTACCCTGTAAAATGAGCCATAGTTAAATTCAGCTGAGTGCCTCCGTGTGGTGGTATCCAACATGCTTCCATGTTTTAAATGTCCTGCAAACTGGCCGTTGGATCTAGAGGCTTCAACACATGTTAGGGTGAGCGCTGGCTGTTCCCCTTTTCTTGATGCTAAGATTGCCCAGCTGCTCAGGTGTCGGCCTGATTCTTGCTTCATAAAGTTCTTCAGCAGTGTTTCCCCTCCTGATTTTGGCAACCATTAGTGATTGTTGTTTAGGTCTGTTATTTCCTAAGGGATTGTAAAATGCTAATTTTCTAATTCTGTAACTCTGTGGATATGGAAGAACTGCCTCACCAACCAGTTCATTTGGTTCTGCAGAAAAGAGAAGATAGCATCCTGATTCTTAACTGTTTCCAGCTTTCAGAACAGTAGGTTGATAAATGAACTTCCACTGGTGATAACAGTGGTAACCAGTAATTTTTTCTGGTGTTATCATCGCTGCCTGTATGTTTGGTTTCAATCCATTACAGTCACCATTCTTTTTGTGTGACTTGTTCCATGTTGGTTGAGGATCCTATTAATCTTTACTTTTGTGTTCTGACTCAGTAAAATGGCTCAGATTATTCTTGTATTTTCCCTGGAAATAACTGAAATTTTCCATTTTTTCCCCAAGGAATGCCAACTCATTTTAGGTCAAAGATGATATCTAGAGATGACAGTTACACTACTAGGATTCTAATCATTGCTGGATTTTGTCATTGCTTCTAGGTATTTTTCAGTGCAATGGAGAGGGGTGCCTGTGTGTGTGTATTTATGAGTTTTTACTAATAGTTCAAATTCGAATTTAAGATTACATTATTTTTACTCAACATTCTTATTTTATCTATGTCCATATCTATCATCTTATCAGTGTTAAAAATCTTGGCTTCTACCAATATAGTGGTACTTTATAGCAGTAGTGTGTAGAAGACTCAACTGGGGTAAAATTGAAGTTTGTTTGGCCCCACATAGATTTTTCTTAACTCACATCTCTTGAAGTATGACTCAAGTATTTACCTTTTTAGGAAGCACCCCAGATGGTACAGTGCAGAAGTCAGGGGCTAACCTTTGTGAACCTTTTCTGTTTGTTTGTTTGTTTTTAACCTTTTCTGTTTTTTTTTTTTTTTAAGGTTTATTTATTTATTTGAAAGTCAGAGTTACAGAGTTACAGAGAGAGGAGAAGTAGAGAAAGAAAGGTCTTCCATCCGATGGTTCACTCCCCAATTGGCTACAATGGCCGGAGCTGTGCCTATCCGAAGCCAGGATCCAGGAGCTTCTTCCGGGTCTCCCATGTGGGTGCAGGGTCCCAAGGACTTGGGTCATCTTCTATTGCTTTCCCAGGCCATAGCAGAGAGCTGGATTGGAAGTGGAACAGCTGGGACTAGAACTGGCACCCATATGGGATGCCAGTGCTTCAGGCCAGGGCGTTAACCCGCTACGCCACAGAGCCGGCCATGTGAACCTTTTCTGCAAGGACTTTTGAGCTATTGGAGTGCTGGATGTTTTTATCTACCACTTTAACTTTTCTGAAGGAGTTGATCCTTTAAAACATCCAAGGAAATTGTGAATTCTGGAGCAGCATTATGATAAATTGAGAAGAACACCTGACCTAGTCACAAGTCCAGAGTGCAAGTTCTGGCCCTGTTGCGAGGTAGCTTTGGGACCTTGGGAAAGCACATTAATCTTTCTGAGCCTTGGTTTCCCTATGAGAAAATGGGTACAATGATGCCTGACTACCTTAGAATTTTTTGTGAGGATCAAATATAGAAGCACTTTGTATAGAGTCAGATGATATAGCTATGTTGAAATAATGAGTCTTAATTAATGAATTAAGCTAGTCTTTCTTATAAGCTTGACAATATATTTTAGTTATTCCAGGTATTGATAATTGTCCTTTCTTTTAATAACCTCTCAGTAATTTATGTTTACACAGAGTAATTTTTTTATTTCTAGGAGTGAAGGATATATCCCAAGTAATTATGTAACAGGAAAGAAATCAAACAATTTAGATCAATATGAGTAAGTAAAAGTTCATTTTGTGAATGTGGAAAACCAGAAAATGTTTTCATTTTCCTAATAATGTAAGGCATTGTGGAGTTTAGTGTTTTAAAGTTAAAACATTTATTGTCTTTAGAAAGTAGTACCAATATATCCTTTATTGAGCTGTCCAACATGGAAAAAGATGGTGTGAATCAGTCTCTATGATGCATTTTTCCTGAAGGAACTTTGTGTGAATGGAATTACACATGCAGATAAAATTGAATTAATTTTAAACAGATCACAGCTTTGCCAACTTTGAAACACAGGCCATTGTTCATTCACTCAACATAGGAATAATTTTTCCCAGAATGGTCTTTAAAAACATCTTTTATTGTTCCTGTTTTTCTAACTAAAAGATTGTTTTTTTAAAAAATTCTTGATAATATGAAACAATGTTAATAAAAATTTCTCATGAATAAGTTAATCTCTGTCAACCTGACATTGACATGTTTTCTTTCCATCTTTTTACTGTTTTTAAGAAGATGGAATTGTGCTCTATAAATTGTTTTATATCTTTTTTCACTTGTAAGTATATTATGAGTTAGTACAAGGTGATTTCAAAAAGTTATGGAAAATAAAATTAAAAGATAACCTACTTTGATGCAACATTTTTGAAATCATGTGTGTGAGTCTTCAAAAAGTTTGTGGAAAATTAATACTATGAAAAATTCATGCATGGATTTCAAAATTGAATTAAAGACAGTAAGTTGCCATTTCCCACATGTTTGAGTCAGTAGAGTAAAAACCATTCTTCCTATGATTAAAACAGTGAAACGTTGGACATGGTTTTTCTGTTGAATGATGGAGAATATCTTAAATCAGTTATGGTGTGTGCATGCCGTAACACACAGAGCTACATTGATTTTCAAAAATGATATCAGGACAAATCCAGGTTATGATATAACCAGTATGATCTGATCATTCCCTAATAAAGCAATAAGAATGTTGGTGCGTGTGTTTTTATAAAAATATGGGTAGAAAAAACTCTGGAACTACATATATCAAAATGTTAGTGGTTGTCCTTATTGAGTTATGAGTATTTGATATTGATGAGCTATATTGCCTTATGAATCCTAATAGGAATAAAAACAATTTTTAAAAACCTGAGGCCTTAAATGTGTTTGTTCCGTTCAGATGGTACTGCAGAAATATGAACAGGAGCAAGGCAGAGCAACTCCTCAGAAGTGAAGTAAGTCTCTCAACTTGTTTCGCGGGTTTCATTGCAGTACAAATCAGTTTTCATGACTCCCTAGTAAGTGGTGTACAGATCTCTGCTTCTAAAGCCAAGATACACTGTGATCTAAATACGGGCTTTGTTTTATAAAAAATATGTAAAACAGAGGGCCGTTGTGTCGGTTTACTCAGGAGCAAAGTGCCACAAACTGAACAGCTTGAACAACACAACTGTGACCTCTCAGGGCTGCAGGGGGGAGCTGGCCAGAATCCAGGGGCCCACGGGGTTGGTTCCTTCTGAGGGCTGTAGACAGAGGATCTCTCCTAAATCTGTGACCTCAGCCTGCAGAGGGCCGTGTCTTAACATCATCTTCCCTCTCAGCGTGTCTGTCTGTCCAAATTCCACCCCTACCTTTTTTTTTTTTAAGATTTATTTATTTATTTGAAAGAGTTACACAGAGAGAGAAGGAGAGGAAGAGAGAGAAAGAAAGGTCTTCCATCCTCTGGTTCACTCTGCAATTGGCCACAATGGCTGGTGCTGCGCTGATCCGAAGCCAGGAACTTCTTTTGGGACTCCCATGTGGTTGCAGGGGCCCAAGGACTTGGGCTATCTTATACTGCTTTCCCAGGCCATAGCAGAGAGCTGGATTGAAAGTAGAGCAGCTGGGACTGGAACCAGCACCCATGTGGGATGCCAGCACTGTAGGCGGCAGCTTTACCCGCTACACCACAGCGCCGGCCTTCCCCTCCAACATTTTTTTTTTTTAAAGGTTTATTTATTTATTTGAAAGTCAGAGTTACATACACACACACACACAGAGACAGGGAGAGAGAAATCTTCCATCCACTGGACCATTCCCCACATGGTTTAATAGCCAGGGCCAGGCCAGGCCAAAGCAGGAGCCAGGAACTCCATATGGGTCTCCCATGTGGGTGGCAGGGGCCCAGGATCTTGGGCCATCCTCCACTGTCTCCCAGGTGCATCAGCAGGGAGCTGCATTGGAAGAGGAGCAGCTGGGACACAAACTGGTATCCATATGGGATGCCGGCTCTGTAGGCAGAGGCTTAGCCTACTATGCCATGGTGTCAGCCCTTACTCCCTTTTTGTGAGGGCACCAGTCACTCTGGATTAGGGCCCACCCTAATGATCTCATTTTAACTTGGTCACCTCTATAAAAATCCTATCTCCAAATAAGATCTTATTATTATTAGATTTATTTTTATTTGCTTGAAAGGCAAAGAGAGAGGGAGAGGGCTCCAGAGAGGGGAAAGAAGAGAGATAGAGAGGCTCTTCCATTCACTGCTTCATTCCCCAAATCCAGCCAGGACAGGGCCAGGCCAAAGCCAAGAGCCAAGAGCCAAGAACTCCATCTAGGTCTCCCACACAGATGGCAGAGACCCAAGCACTTGCGCCATTATCTGCTGACTTCCCAAGGGCATTAGCAGGAAGCTGGATTGGAAGTGGAGTAGCTGGGATTTGAACTGAAACTCTGATAATGGTGGCTTAACCCACTACACCTTAACTTGTATGTCACAATGCCAGTGACTAAGATCATATTCTGAAATACTGGAGGTTAGGAAACAAGCTTTTGGTTGTAAATAAAACACTTAAACCTTTAATGCTGGGTCATAGCTATATATCAGTAATGTAATCTTTCTTACTGATTTATCATTTACTAACCTTGATTTTAGTACTTGTGTTTTACCTTTTTCCTTGAGGTTTGTTTTTAAATAATTTACCTTAATATTACATCTTTTATAAATGAACTTTATTAAAATATTTAATTGTCCTTAGAAATACCTGTGCTGAGGGGGGCTTTGGCACAGCAGTTAAGTTGCTGCTTGGGATGCCTGCATCCCGTATTGGAGCCAGTGCCTGGGTTTGAGTTGCAGTTCTGTTTCTGATCCAGCTTCCTTCTAGTGTGCATCCTGGGAGGCAGCAGGTGAAGCTTAACCTCAGATTACTGCCATCCACGTGAGACCTGTGTTGAGTTATAGGCACCTAACTTTGGCTTGGTCAACTCTCACTGTAGCAGGCCTCTGGGGAGTGAACCACTGATGGAAGGTCTTTCTATGTCTCTGTCTCTCCCTAACTCTTTTCCCTTTCCCTAGCTCTCATTCCCTTTCTCACTCTTTCAAATAAAGAAAACGGAAATGCATGTGCTGAAATTCCTACACGTAGTATGGAGGGAACTACACTGGGCTAGCTAAAAGAACCTGAGTCGGCTGTGACTTTCTAGGTTATGCATGCATTGTAAGATAAGGAGATTGGATTAGAAGATGACCCCCCGCCCCGCGCCAAAAAAAAAGTTCTTCACATTTCTGATGTATTTATTCTATTCAGTAATAGTTGCCAGTCTTTAAACCCCAGGCTTTCTCACTTTATCTCTGTTAATTATCACCAGTCAAGGTTTTGTTGAACTCTTGTTTCCATTGTTCAGCTGAGAAGGCTATGGCAAATGACTTTGCCTGGCTCAGACTACAGGTGCCGGTGCCCATTCTCCATAGGATTCTTTTTTTTTTTTTTTTTTTTGACAGGCAGAGTGGACAGTGAGAGAGAGAGACAGAGAGAAAGGTCTTCCTTTTGCCATTGGTTCACCCTCCAATGGCCGCCGCGGCCAGCGCACTGCGGCCGGCGCACCGCACTGATCCGATGGCAGGAGCCAGGTACTTCTCCTGGTCTCCCATGGGGTGCAGGGCCCAAGCACTTGGGCCATCCTCCACTGCACTCCCTGGCCACAGCAGAGAGCTGGCCTGGAAGAGGGGCAACCAGGACAGAATCCAGCGCCCTGACCGGGACTAGAATCCAGTGTGCCGGCGCCGCAAGGTGGAGGATTAGCCTAGTGAGCTGCCGCGCCAGCCCATAGGATTCTTAAGTGCATTCCTGGAAGCCATACAGTGAGAGGCAACAGTAAGTGAGTGGGCAGCCAGGCAGCCTGGGATCCGAGTCATGGTTCTGCTACTTCCTAGCTGTCTGATCCTGGCACGTTACCCAGCCTTTCTGGTCCCCTTTTCCTTATCTGCGAAGTAAAGTGGAGATAAAAGTAGTGTCTATCTCATAGGACTATTTTGAATATTAAATAAATTCACACATTAGAACAAAATAATAAAGTCTTAATTAAACTACAACTTAACTTATTAAATTCTCAGTAAATAAATATAGCTCTCCTAACTTCAGCTTTCTGCTAATGTGTACCTGGGAGGCAGCAGGTGATGACTCAAGGTAATTTGATCCTTGCATTCATGTGGGAGATCTGGACTGAACCCAGCTCCCGTCTTTGGCCCAGCCCAGCCCAAGTGCTGTGGGCATTTGAGGAATGAACCAGCAGATGGGAGCTCTCTCCCTGTCTCCATGCTCTCTCTCTCTGCCTCTTAAAGAAAGAAATGATAGCAATCACCATTTTTAGCTGAGTGATTATTGCAATTATTGTCCCTAATTGTTCTTATCAGATACATTTGTGAAGCTTTGTTAATTTCATTGTCTTTCTTTTATGTGAGAATAAAATATATTTTATTTTTCAACTATTAAATGACTTTTCATCTGAAAGTCATTTACACATACGAGATTGGACATGCTGTTGTTGGAGGAGAGGTATTTGAGGTTTGGGGCTTCTATTTCCTGCTCCTCAGCTTGGAACCTGATGCAGACTCGTCCTTTTTAATCATTCAGCATTGTTTCTGGCTTTGGATTTTTTCTGCTTGCTTTACTTGTACCTCCATCTCTTTTGTCAAGAGTGACATTTAACATTGACTCCAGGGGAATTAAGGATTTGTAAATACACTTTTATAAAGAGCACTGAGATATTTACAGAAAAAAGCCATATAAATGTAAATGAAACTGAGCCAGGATTCAAAGCTTACAGCAAACATAAAAAAAAATATGATATGAAACCCAGTCTTTCAAAAATACATTTTTCTTTTCTCTTGCTTTTTATCAATGATTTATTTATTTGAAAGGCAGAGTTACAGAGAGAGAGAAAGAGAGAGCGCTTCCATCCTGTGGTTCACTCCCCAAATGACTTCAACAGCTGGGGCTGCATCAGGCTGAAGCCAGGAGCCGAGAGCTATATCCACGTCTCCCATGTGGGTGTCAAGGGCCTAAGCACTTTAGCCATCATCTGCTGCTTTCCCAGGTTCATTAGCAGGGACTTGGACCCAAAGTAGAGCAGCCAGAACTCAAACCAGTACTCACAGGTTACCAGCATTACAGGCAGCAGCTTAACCCATTGTGTCCAACGCTGGCCCCAGAAATAACATGTTTTCAGTGACTGTTGTTGAAGATGTACAGGAATTGCAGAATCTTTCCTGTTGGTTCTAGAAAGGCCCTGAGAGACGATCTGGTTGAAATGCCTCACAGTAGCTGGGAGAGGTCTTGTAGTGGTGGGGAGTCCTGTATGCTTGCTTTGGCTGGTCTCAGCCCAGTAGCACAAAGTAGAAAGTCAGGCGGATGGGAGAAACCAAAGAGCCCCAGTGGTAAGTTGTGTTTCTCCACACCAGATTTTCTAGGAAAAGAATAGAAATCATAGAATTGTAAGATTGAGTTCTTGAATCTTCTCTGGGGCACTGATTAATATCAGTCATTGTAGTAAAAAACATTTTCTTAACTTGGTTTTTAGGATAAAGAAGGTGGTTTTATGGTAAGGGACTCCAGTCAACCAGGCTTATACACAGTGTCCCTTTATACGAAGTTTGGCGGGTAAGTAATCTTTTTTTTTTTTTCAAATATAGAAGTATTTTTTGGCTGAACTTCTTATATTGTTTGTACATATTCCTAATTTTCAAAAATTATGCTGGTTTTTAGCATTAAAAAATAAAACCTAAACTTGATTTCTAAAGTTTATACTGTTTTTTTGCCTTTATATTTTCAGCAGTTTCCCCAGTCATTTTCCAGATATCATGCATTGCTTAGTGACAGCATATGTTCTGAGAAACAGGTTGTTAGGTGATTTCGCCATTGTGCGAACACCAGAGTCTGCTTACACAAACTAAGCTGCTGCGGTATCACTAGCTAATATGAACTTACAAGACCACTGTCTATTCAGGTTACCCCTGTGACGTCATTCCACAGCATGTAACAGTACTAAGAATGCTTGTAGGAACTGGAGTAACGGTCAACAAGTAATTGCTGTGTGCTGAGCAGAGTACAGGGATACAACAGTGAAGGAAGTGGGCACGGACCCTGTCCTCCAGGGTAATGGGAGTTACAGACAGGCAAACAAGCAGTTATGGTGGTAGGTGAACAAATGCTATGGCAGAAGGGTAATGTGTGTGTGTGTGTGTGTGTGTGTGTGTAGCCAGGATACGTCTGAGTTATTTATGAATGTTGTCCTAAATTACTTCCAAGCTGAGCCTGCCAAAAGTGAGGAAGGAAAAAACTGAGTGGAAGGGAAAAAGTGTTTCTGACCCAAGAAACTGCCTGGGCCCGGAGGTGAAAGAAGACATGAAGAGTTCTTGGGTGGAAAAGAGTATCACAGCTGCAATGCGGAGTTGGGGGGGGGCAGAGTGAAGGGAGGTGAGGGAAGCCCACCAGACAAAAGCAGAAGCCGATGGTGTCAGTGTTGGAACATCCTGGGAGTCATGCTGAGGGTTGTCAGCAGGAGCTGACTTGAGAAGACCTGTGTTCTAGGAAGATGTCTAAGGGGGAATTGGTACATTTGTAAGCCTAATCTGTTGACTTTCAGAGGCATAAGTACTCTAGACATTTGCAAGTTTTTGCCAACAGCAGAGACAAAAGCAGTGGCAGCCAGAAGTTATTTTAAGACTTTTAATGGTGGTTCAATGGAGTTGGTAAATGCCCTCTTATGTAGTCTCATGCAGGGGACCAAGCATGTTATCAATGACTATTCTGAACACTTCTACCTGTTAATGTGGAGGATGACTCCAAGAAGAATATAAGGAAAAATGAAGTTTGTGTTGGGAACAGAAAGGGCCAAATGGAGGGAGCCTGTGATGACCCTGCAGAGAACATTTTAAGAGTGCAGTCATATTTTACCAACTTGGCTCTAGCACATTTTGATTTTTGTTTCAGAGAAAGTTCATCAGGTTTCAGGCATTATCATATAAAGGAAACAACAACGTCTCCAAAGAAGTATTACCTAGCAGAAAAGCATGCTTTTGCTTCAATTCCTGAGATTATTGAATATCATAAGCACAATGCAGCAGGTAAGTCAGCATTAAAACCTGCTTCAAATATTAGTAAGGAAAATGATCATACATGATGAATCCTTCCTTGAGCAGCTTTAATGTGTAGCTAGATCATTGTGGAATGTGACTGATTTAAACTTATCGCATAGTAAGGAAGTACAAAAAAAAATCAGAAATACCAAGACTCATAAAAAGTGTTCACATTTCTGTGGTTTCTATCTTTGATCGTAACTAAAGTTCAGCGTATGTCCATCTCAGAGTAGTCACAGGAGCTGTCAGACAAAGCAGGATTTAGTCTTATGTTATACTGGCTTCCAAAAACTAGATTACAGATGCTTCCTGACTTATGACGGGATTACATCCCCAAGAAGGCCATCATCTGTTGAAAATGCCCTAAGTCAAAACTGCACTGAGTGCACCTGACCTATCAGCATCATCCTTGAGCAGCACAGCTCACTGTGGAGCATTGGCTGTTGCTGCTCTTGACTGGGAGCTGTAGCTGTAGCTGCTGTCTCTACCTCGCCTTGTGAGAGAATTCGGAGCCACGTTATCTCTAGCCAAGGAAGAAAAAATCCAAATCCACCCCCTTGAAATCTGGTTTCTGCTTAATGTGCATTACTTTTGAACCATCCTAAAGCTGTAAAGGAAAATCCCAACTAGAACCAGCTGTTATCAGGTCTCTTGAGTTTCCCATGACTGAGTCCCTGCCACCCTTACCATCAGCATGGGAACAAACCAAACACCAACAGACAGAAGCAGAAGCCGCATTTCAGCTCATGAAGTTTCCACAGGATGATGTAGAACTATTATTAGCTTTGACTCTTTGAAGACATACCTGAGCAGGAGAAATAGCCAAATGCCTAACTTAATATATGAAAAGTTAACTTTTGAAATTTTATAGAAGGCTGTCTTTGCAAAACTTGTTATTATTTAGTGACTCTGGTGACTTTTTTCAGCTAATGGTAGGAAGTTACTGAGCAGTAATTTACATTGTATAAAGTTTGCTAGTTGAAAGTCTACAATTCAGTAGTTTTTAGTAGGTTTGCAGAGTTGGGCCAACTGTTACCATAATCTAATTTTAAGAACATTGTTGTCATCTGCAAAAGAAATGTTGTGCCCACTAGCAGTTACCCTGTGTTTCCCTTCACCAAGCCAGCCCAAGGCAACCATTAATCTACTTTCTGCCTATATAGAATTGCCTATTCTGCACATTTCATGGAAATGGAATCACACTATGTGGTCTCTTTTGCCTGGTTTCTTTGATTCAACGTAATGTTTTTGATGTTCATCCATGCTGTAGATGTATAAATATTACACTAACCTCTCCCGTCTTTTCAATCTTCATCACAAGATTATTGAAATGATCAGGTAATATATAAGCAAACTGCAGAGAACTTGACAACCAGTAATTATATAATAAGTTCTCCCTATTGCTGAGTCACTACTCAGAGCCTAGCAAGTGTTGTGGAATGGTAAGGTTCTCAGGCTAGCATCCAAATCTACATGTGCTAGGTGGTTAGACAGGGGATCAGCCTCTCTATTTGCAAATCCATAGGCTCATCTTAACATCTACCTGTTGTGTTAGAAAGTCAGGCTTCATCTACTGATGAAAACCAAGACGCAGCCTGGATATATACAAACTGAAGGCATAATGATGTTTAGGAAAGCAACTTACTGACAATATCACTAGGGATTCTGGACAATATAAATGCCACAGAATATTTTTTTTTCCACAACGGACTTACTGAATATGTCCTTAGAAGTTGGTTTGTGGGGCTGGTGTTGTGGTGTAGCAGGTAAAGCTGTTGCCTGCGATGCCAGCATTCCATATGGACACTGGTTTGTGTCCCATCTGCTCCACTTCTGATCCATCGCCCTGCTAATGTGCTTGGGAAAGCAGCAGAGGATAGCCCAAGTGCTTAGGCCCCTGCATCCATGTGGAAGACCTGGAAGAAACTATAGGCTCCTAGCTTTGGCTTGGCCCACCCCAGCTGTTACAGTCATTTGAAGAGTGAACCAGTGGATGGAAGATCTCTGTCTCTGTCTCTCCCTCTCTTTCTGTAACTCTCCCTTTCAAATAAATAAATGAATATTTAAAAAAAGTTGATTTGTGGACTTGGAATAAAGAAAGAGTTCCTGGGGCAGATAAAAATTCTAAATTCAGGCAGCCTATTGGATAAGGTATCCAATTATTTTTATAATCCATTGTATGGATTTTGTTTCTCCCATTTTGTTTATCACTCATTAGTTGATAGAATTTGGGTTGTTCCCACATTTTGACTTTTATAAATAATGCTGCTATAAACAGTTGGGTACAAGGTTTTGCATAAAAATGTTTTCATTTCTGTTGAGTATTTACCTAGGATTGGATTTTCTGGGCCATAAGATAATTGTGTGTTGGACATTTGAGGAACTAATTCATATCACTTTATCCCACAAGGAACTTTTTCAAGTCTGTCCTTTAAAAAAAAAAAAAAGATTTTGTATGTATGTATGTATGAGAGAGAGAGTGAGAGAGAGTTTCTATCTGCTAGCTCACTCTCCAGTGGCCACACAGGTGGGGTTAGGCCAGACTGAAGTCAGGAGCCTGGAACTGCATCCTGGTCTCTCATGTGGTTGGCAGGAACTTGTACTTGAGCCATCATCTGCTGCTTCGCAGGCTCATTAGTAGGGAATTAGATTAGAAGTGGAGTAGCTGAGTTTCAACTGGCACTTGAATATGGGATGCGGGTGTTCCAGGTGACAGCTTAACCCATTGCACCACAAGGCTGGCCCCTCAAATCTCTTACCTGTTATTTTCTTTTGTGGTATTCACATTCCCTTAATTTTTTTTTCTTTTGTGTTCTTGTAGAAGTTTTATTTTTTAGCACTGTCTCACTCCATTCAGCACACATGTAATCAGTACCTACTGTGTGTCAGGAACTAGTTCAGATTTTGGGGAGCCTGTGATGGATTTGATTGACCACCTGGGTGGAGACAGATATTTTAAATGACTCTGAGATATGCTGTCATAAAGGGAATCCAGGTACCATGAGTAGAAGAAGCACTTCCCATCTCTTGCTTAGTGTAGTAAGCAACATGCTAGAAGATTGGATTGACTTCACGGATGTTCAGTAATTTATATTTCCAGTGGTTAAGGTCTTGGAGCTGATTTTTGTGGTAAGATTGCTAACATGGAGGTGCATATTTGATTCAGCAGTTAGGCTGCTGCTTGAATGCCTGTGTCCTATAAAGGAGTGCCTTGGTTTGATTTCCATTTCTGATTCTAGTTTCATGCTGAGAGGCAGCAGGTGGTGGCTCCAGTAGTTGGGCTTCTGCCACCCACGGTGGAGACCCAGATTGAGTTCCTGGCTACTGGCTGCAGGCTGGCCCAGCCCAGGCTGTTGCAGGCATTTGGGGAGTGAATGAGCAGATGAGAGATCTCTGTCTGTGCTCCTCTGACTCTCTACTTTTCCAGTAAATAAAATAAATGTAAGAAAGTATTATTAGAGGGTTAACATTGAGTTATAGCAGGTGAATGACTTTAGTTTTAAGCAGACTAGTATATACTTTTATACTTCAGCTCTCATACAGGAAAAGAACACAAAATAATAACTGTTAGAAGTCTTTTACATCCTTTCAAATATTTGAAAAGTGCAGAAGCTAGCATGTGCTGATAAATGCAGTAGAATTTAAAACAAAATGCTGTAGTATTTAAAAGCATGTAGCCGGGGCGCCGGATTCTGTCCCGGTTGCCCCTCTTCCAGGCCAGCTCTCTGCTATGGCCCGAGAGTGCAGTGGAAGATGGCCCAAGTCCTTGGGCCCTGCACCCGCATGGGAGACCAGGAGAAGCACCTGGCTCCTGCCTTCGGATCAGTGCGATGTGCCGGCTGCAGCGCGCCGGCCGCGCCGGCCGTTGGAGGGTGAACCAATGGCAAAGGAAGACCTTTCTCTCTGTCTCTCTCTCTCTCACTGTCCACTCTGCCTGTCAAAAAAAAAAAAAAAAGTCTTTTACTTCCTTTCAAATATTTGAAAAGTGCAGAAGCTAGCATGGTGCCTGATAAATGCAGTAGAATTTAAAACAAAATGCTGTAGTATTTAAAAGCATGTAGCACAGTGTTGTCTGAGCACACAGAAGGGGGGCAGTGAATTGATAAATGAATGGATTTGTGAGTGAGTTTGTACTTTAGTATTTGTCTTTGCAGGATGATTGAAGAATGAGTTCAACTGCAATATTGTCTTTGATTTCTAGGACTCGTCACCAGGCTGCGATACCCAGTTAGTACCAAGGGGAAGAATGCACCAACCACTGCAGGATTCAGCTACGGTAACTCTCATTTTGTAATTACATTGGCTAATTTTCCTGGAAAAGGAACCATTTTCAGGGGCAGGTGTTTAGTGCAGTGGTTTAGATGCCCACATCCCATCTCAAAGTGCCAGAGTTTGAATCCCAGCTGGACTCTTGATTCCAGCTTCCTGCTAATCTACACCCTAGGAGGTCGCGGGAGGTGGCTCAAGTCCTTGGGCCCCTGCCACCCATATGGGATACCCAGATTAAATTTTGGGTTCCTAGCTTCAGCCTGATCCAGACCTGGCCTTTGTGGGCATGTGGGGAATGAACCTGCAGATAGAAGGTCTTTCTTTGTCTTTTTGCCTTTCAAATAATAAAAAATTCAAAAATCTATTATCACTAAACAGATTTAGATATATAGAATTCTACACAGTGGAGCTGTTTGTATGAGTTTTCTAGTATGGGTTTTTAGATAGTTATCCTTTATAGCTATTGTGACCTTCGATTTTATATTTTCTTTTCTTTTTTTTTTACTTTCTCTTTTTTTTAAACTTTTATTTAATGAATATAAATTTCCAAAGTACAGCTTATGGGTTACAATGGCTTCCCCCCCATAACGTCCCTCCCACCTGCAACCCTCCCCTTTCCCACTCCCTCTCCCCTTCCATTCACATCAAGATTCATTTTCGATTCTCTTTATATACAAATCAGTTTAGCGTACATTAAGTAAAGATTTCAACAGTTTGCTCCCACAGAAACATAAAGTGAAAAATACTGTTTGAGTACTAGTTATAGCATTAAATCTCAATGTACAGCACACTAAGGACAAAGATCCTACATGAGGAGTAAGTGCACAGTGACTCCTGTTGTTGACTTAACAAATTGACACTCTTGTTTATGGCCTCAGTAATCACCCTAGGCTCTTGTCATGAGCTGCCAAGGCTATGGAAGCCCCCTGAGTTCACTGACTCTGATCATATTTAGACAAGGCCATGGTCAAAGTGGAAGTTCTCTCCTCCCTTCAGAGAAAGGTACCTCCTTCTTTGATGACCCGTTCTTTCCACTGGGATCTCACTCGCGGAGATCTTTCATTTAGGTTTTTTTTTTTCCCCCAGAGTGTCTTGGCTTTCCATGCCTGAAACACTCTCATGGGCTTTTCAGCCGGATCCGCATGCCTTAAGTGCTGATTCTGAGGCCAGAGTGCTGTTTAGGACATCTGCCATTCTATGGGTCTGCTGTGTATCTCACTTCCCATGTTGGATCGTTCTCTCCCTTTTTTATTCTATCAGCTAGTATTTGCAGACACTATTCTTGTTTATGTGATCCCTTTGGTTCTTAGTCCTATCATTATGATCAATTGTGCACAGAAATTGATCACTGGGACTAGTGAGATGGCATTGGTACATGCCACCTTGATGGGATTGAATTGGAATCCCCTGGTATGTTTCTAACTCTACCATTTGAGGTAAGTCAGCTTGAGCATGTCCCGAATTGCACATCTCTTCCCTCTCTTATTCCCACTCTTATATTTAACAGCAATCACTTTTCAGTTAAGTTTCAGCACTTAAGAAGAATTGTGTATTGATTACAGTATTCAACCAAAAGTATTAAGTAGAACAAACAAAAAAAATACTAAGAGGGATAACATATTAAGTTGCTCATCAACAGTCAGGGTGAGGGCTGATCAAGTCACCATTTCTCATAGTATTCATTTCACTTTAACAGGTTTCCTTTTTGGTGCTCAGTTAGTTGTCACCTATCAGGGAGAACAAGTGGTATTTGTCCCTTTGGGATTGGCTTATTATACTCAGCATAATGTTTTCCAAATTCCTAACAGGGATCCCTTTTCAGTTAAAATTTAAACACTTAAGAGTAATTGTGTGTTAATTACAGAGTTCAACCAATGGTACTAGAACAAAAAAAAAATACTAAAATGGATAAAATATTACATTGTACATCAACCGTCAGGACAAGAGCTGATCAGGTCATATTTTCATCCTTATTCATAATTCAGTAGGAAACATTCTGTCAGTGAAAAATAAGTGTTAGCATGTGACATGAAAAGTAATTCTAAGCCTTCCTGGTTCTCCCCCGGGCTTTGTTGGTTACTCACTAAAATGTAAGGGTGGAGGATTAGAGAAGCTTCCAACCTGGTGTTCTTATTCAAGTTCAGTTCTTTCCAACTTGGAACTGAAAAGCAAAACCAAACCAAACAAAAACAACAAACTGATCGCAGGAGGAAGAGTGGTAAATGCGGAAGTATTCGTGTTTTATGCAAAGTCCTTAGCCTTCAGCTGCGTTAGTGGAAACGTAACTCCTGCAGCCTTCTCCTGCCTCCTTCAGGTCGCTTGGCTGGCATGGCGACAGTTTGGAAGGGCTGTGTTCCCTTTTCACTTGCTGACGTCTGCCCCCTTCTGTCTTGCAGAGAAGTGGGAGATTAACCCTTCAGAGCTGACCTTCATGCGGGAGCTGGGCAGCGGGCTCTTCGGAGTGGTGAGGCTTGGCAAGTGGCGAGCCCAGTACAAAGTAGCCATCAAAGCTATTAGGGAGGGCGCCATGTGTGAGGAGGACTTCATAGAAGAAGCTAAAGTGATGATGTAAGTCACGCGCAGCCCGTGGCCCTCCCGTGCCCTGGTGACTTCTGTTCTGTGGTACCTATGTGTGTGTGTGTGTGCCTTCCTTCCCAGGAAACTGACACACCCGAAGTTAGTCCAGCTTTACGGCGTTTGCACCCAGCAGAAACCCATCTACATCGTCACCGAGTTCATGGAGCGCGGCTGCCTTCTGAATTTCCTCCGGCAGAGACAAGGTCACTTCAGCAGAGATGCGCTGCTGAGCATGTGTCAGGACGTGTGTGAAGGCATGGAGTACCTGGAGAGAAACAGCTTCATCCACCGAGACCTGGTAACCAGGACCCTCCCGTGTGCCCGTTCATTGGCTGAAGTGCTGTGCAGCACAGGGTCAGCTCTGTGCTGGGAGGCATTCATGCCCATGTTTGTTTGTAACCATGTTTCACTGTATGTGTGGTTTTAAGATTTATTTATTTGTTTGAAAGTCAGTGTTGCAGAGAGAGAGAGGAAGAGAGAGAGAGAGGTATAGAGAGAGGAAGAGAGAGAGAGAGAGAGAGAGGGAGGGAGAGGTCTTCCATCTGGTGGTTCACTCCCCAAATGGCCACAATGGCCAGGGATGGACCAGGCCAAAGCCAGGAGCCAGGAGCTTCCTCCTAGTCTGCCACATGGGTGCAGGGGTCCAAGCACTTGGTCCATCCTCCACTGCTTTCCCAGGCCATTAACAGAGAGCTGGATCAGAACAGGGACAACCAAGACTCGAACCAGCACCCATATGGAATGCCAGCACTGCAGGCAGTGGCTTTACCCATTATGTCACAGCACTGGGTTCCACCATTATTTATTTATTTATTTTTTTAAATTTGAGAGTGAGAGTCACAGACAGAGAGAGGGAGAGACAGAGAAAGAAGTCTGCCATCCACTGGTTCACTCCCCAAATGGTGCAACAACCAGAGCTGGGCCAATCCAAAGCCAGGAGCCAGGAACTTCTTCTGGGTCTCCCATGTGGGTACAGGGGCCCAAGCCCTTGGGCTGTCTTCTTTTGCTTTCCCAGGCCATAGCAGAGAGCTGGATCTGAAGAAGAGCAGCCAGGACATGAACTGGCACCCATATGGGAAAGCCAGAGGCTTAGCCTGATGTGCCACAGGGTCAGCTCCAACCATTATTTTTAAACTTTGTAAATTTAACTCACCCCATTATCTTAAAGGAAAGATCTTTATTAAATGTAATGATTCGTGTAGTTAAAGTCTCCAAGCAACCCTCCTGACATCAGTTATCTGATCTCCAGAAGAGTGCTGTGAGGTCTGGCAGATTTTATCTCATCACTGTCCCCTAGGCAAGAAAGGCAGCTTTGGGGACGTGAAGTGGCTGCCTACTGTAACACACAGGGAAGTTAGGCTTGGCTTTGGCCTCTGACTAAATCCCAAATTGTTTCCCACCTCTCACACTATAAACAGAACCTTGATGAGAAATCCTTTGGTTCATTTTCTTTGTCTGTAATCCTCGGGCAAAGATGGAGACTCACGTGAACTTCTGACCCTACCAGGAAAGGAGATCTGTTGGTGGCACTAATTCATTGTGATGCACACTTCCTACTGTTTCTCCTCCCACTCTTTCTCCTCTGCTCCCCCTCCCACTCTTTCTCCTCTGCTCCATTCTCCCTGCTTTTCTCCACGAATGTGTCTGTTCTCATCCTGTCAGTAGCACCTTCACCAAAGCAAGCGTGGCTACCCTCTGGATGGTCTCGTATTCGAGTTGCACTTTTGTGGTCAAGCACAGACACAAGTCTTCCAGAGCAGCAGCAAAGCATTTTTTTTTTTTAAATTAAGGATCACCATCGGTAGATGTGGTTCTTTTCTTTAAGATTTATTTATCTAGTTGAAAGGCAGAGTTACAAAGAAGCAGAGGCAGAGAGAAAGAAAGAGAGAGATCTTCCATTTGCTGGTTCACTCTCCAAATGGCCCCAATGGCCCGGGCTGAGCCAATCCAAAGCCAGGAGCTTCCTCCAGACCTCTCGTGTAGTCGCGGGGCACAAGCACTTGTGCCATCCTCTACTGCCTGCCTTCCCAGGCCACAGCAGAGCTGGATCGAAGTGGAGTAGCCAGGGCTTGAATTGGCACCCACATGGGATGCTGGCACTGCAGGCGGCAGTTCTACCCACTACGCCGCAGCTTTGGCAACTAGATAAGGTTCTAATAAATATTTCACAAATGTAAACTCATTTTGAGTCATTATAACAACCCTTGGAATAGATATTATGATTCTACAAATAGGATAAGATAACTGACCAGTGTCAAGTCAGTTGTGGATCCAGGGTTTGAACCCAGGGAGTTTCACTCCAGAGTCTATACTGTAACCGCTGTGCTGTGTCATATCTAGATTTAAAGTATAACAGGGAGCTGATGACTTGGAGATGGAAGACTTGGTTTCCAACATGTATTTTGGGACAGTTACATAGTCTTTCTGATACTCTGTTTCCATATCTGTAAATTGTGGGTGTCGCTCCCCCTCTTCGTGGAGGAACGACACAGGACCCTGCGCTGTTTTTCGTCTGTTCGGCCCTCCCCGGGTTTGCTGCTGGTTCTTCCCGGGTTGGCTACTATCCCTTCCACCTCCGTGGAAGGGCGGTTCCCCCTGGCCACATTCCCCACTTCCGCAGGGGAGCGGCACACCGCCGGCCGGTTCTCTCGGGGGCTGCACAGGTGTTCCCTCAGATGTTCCCCTTAGATGTTCCCGGTGCATGCCGTCTCTCTCCTCCTTTATAGTCCTCCTCCGCCAATCCTAACTTGGCTGCCCACACGCCGAGTACGCTGCTCTCCAATCAGGAGCAAGTCCTACAGTTTATTGGTTGAACTGGAGGCAGCTGTGCGGAAGCTGTTTACTTCTCTCCCAGCACCATATTGTGGGAGAGCAGATGCATAGAATAAGTCTTAATTCCAGTAACTCAGTCCAGTCCGGGCCGCTCCCCACAGTGGGTATAATACTTTTTTGCTCAAAAGATTGTTCTAAACATCATATTGTACTGGGGCCAGTGCTGTGGCATAGCAGGTAAAGCTGCTACCTGCAGTGCCGGCATCCTATATGGGCTCCAGTTCAAGTCGCAGCTGCTGCATTTCCAATCCAGCTCTCTGCTGTGGCCTGGGGAAGCAGTACAAGATGACCCAGATCCTTGGGCCCCTGCACCCACATGGGAAGACCTGGAGGGAGCTCTTGGCTCCTGGCTTCGGATTGGCACAGCTCCAGCCGTTGCAGTCAATTGGGGAGTGAACCAGCGGATAGAAGACCTCTCTTTCTCTTTCTCTGCCTCTCCTTCTCTCTCTGTGTAACTCTGACTTTCAAATAAATAAATAAACTGGGGCAATGGACTTGTAAAACAGACCTGATAGTGTAACAGCCATTATTGTTAGCACTATACTTGGTGATGACAAAGAACATGGCTTTGTCATGTGGAAATTTGTGAGCTAAGCATCTTCTTCCTTTTTGTACATATGAAACTGATAAAAGTTGAAGGTCCCCATGAGTGTGACAGACTGCACCCGTCCACAAAGATCATGTCTTGCTGAAAGCAATTTTTGATATAATATTGATGGTAGGTTTGTGTTACTCCTTAAGGGAAGATTCATATCCTCCTCTGTGCTGGGGGAAATCTGTTGACTGTTGAGTCAGGGCCTGTGGAGTGTCTTCCAGGGCGGGTGGAGGTGGTCCAGGGAATGGGTGTTAACTCTCACTTTAGAGGAAACTCTTACAATGCACTCATCAGCAAAGAACCTCATGTAAGTGGCATTATCACATACAGAAAATAAAGTTCTGCATAACTGGGAAGAGAGATACATATATTTTTTTAAGATTTACTTATGGCCGGCGCTGCGGCTCACTAGGCTAATCCTCTGCGTGTGGCGCCAGCACCCGGGTTCTAGTCCCTGTTGGGTGGCCAGATTCTGTCCCGGTTGCTCCTCTTCCAGTCCAGCTCTGTGCTGTGGCCCGGGAGGAGAGTGGAGGATGGCCCAAGTGCTTGGGTCCTGCACCCGCATGGGAGACCAGGAGGGAAGCACCTGGCTCCTGGCTTTGGATCGGCGCTGTGTGCTGGCCGTAGCGGCCACTTGGGGGTGAACCAGCAGAAAAAAAAAGACCTTTCTCTCTGTCTCTCTCTCTCACTAACTCTGCCTGTCAAAAAAAAAAAAAAAAAGATATATTTACTTATTTGAGAGGCAGAGTTACAGAGAGAGAGAGGGAGAGACAGAGAGAGGTCTTCCATCTGCTGGTTCACTCTCCAAATGGCCACAATAGCTGGAGTTGGGCCCATCTGAAACCCTAAGCCAGGAGCTTCTTCTGGGTCTCCCACACAGGTATAGGGGCCCAAGAACTTAGACCATCTTCCACTGCTTTCCCAGGCCACAGCGGAGAGCTGGATTGGAAGGGGGACAGCTAGAACACAAATCGGCGCCCATATGGAATGCTGGTGTAGAAGGCAGAGGCTTAACTTACTATGCCACAGCACTGTCCCCAAAAACTACATCTTGATCCACGGGTTTTGATATTAAAAATGTTTTCCCTCTGAGAAATACTATGTCTTTTTAGCAAACTATTTTTCTTGAATCTTATAAAGCATGGCAAGAAAATATGGATTTAAAAATCCACAATTGGCCTGTGTCGTATCTCATGTTATCATGTACTGGAAACATAGTAAATGATAAAACAGACTGTGTTCACACACAGCTGTTCTTTTCGTTGTTGGTAGGTGAGATTGCCCAGTCACCGAGCAAAGCCGTTGGGTAGGAGATTGGCTCCCCTTCAGTTTGGTGGTTAAGTGTCAGTAAGCTCAGTTGTCCTGGACTGAGGACATCAATAGATGTTACTGGAGTCTGAGAATCCCATTGCTTAATAAGAATAGGACTGGCGGGGGAAGGTGGGTTCACCTTTGTCTTAGTGCCGTGTAGATAGGACTGTTGGTTGGTAAAGGAGGTGTAGTAACGCCTTCTTGCAGATGAGACTTAATTTTTTGAAGGTTTTTATTTAATGAATACAAATTTCATATATACAACTCTATTTCAACTATTTGCACCCACCCAGACACACAAAGTATAAAGTACAGTTTGAAGACTAGTTTTACCGTTCATTCTCATAGTATAATACATTAAGGACAGAGGTCCAGCATGGGGAGCAAGTGCACAGTGACTCCTGTTGTTGATTCAACAACTGACCCTCTTATTTATGACGTCAGTGATCACCCGAGGCTCTTATCATGGCAGATGAGACTTCCTGGTCTTTGTACCCATTCTTTCAAATGTGTGGGAGACTCTTCCGGGGGAACGGGGAACGGGTAAAAGCAACATATCTACCATCTGTACCCAGTGACTGAGTTACAGTACATTTAATACAAATGGAACTTGTATTTTTCTACTTCTATTGTGCAACTTTTAAACTTACGTGCTGTCCTGTTTTCTAGGCTGCCAGGAATTGTCTAGTGAATGATGCGGGAGTTGTGAAAGTATCGGATTTTGGAATGGCCAGGTATGGCTGAGTCTATGTGGTTTTAGGCGATGTTCATTTTGTCCTGTAGAATTAATAAGTATGGGAATAATCTGCACTGATGATGAAGATAGCAAATATTGTTAACAATTCTGAGATAACTGTATTAAAATTAAAGTATATGTTCTGAACTCGTAATTCTCTCCACTAGGTGGTAGTATAGCTTGTTAAATACACGACTTTTGTCTCCTCTGTGCGAGTTAGAGTTCTAGAATCTTTTGTTTTCACAGAAACACATTTGATGGTAAAGTTCTTAGACTATCAACATCTGCATTGCTTTTATTCCTTGAATCTTTCTAATATTGATAGAGTGTTAGAAAAGATCTTTTAAAAAGTTCAACAAGTTTTAAAAAGAAGTTTTAAAAAGTTCACAGAAAAATGGAACTAAAAGATAAAATTTGGGGCTGGCATCGTGACATGGTCAGTTAAGCTACCGCCTACAACGTGACATCCCATACGGATGCCCCTTTGAGTCCCGGCTGAGTCCCGGCTGCTCCACTTCTGATCTAGCTCCCTGCTGATGTGCCTGGGAAAACAGCAGAAGATGGCCCAGTGCTTGGGCCCTGCCGCCCAGGTGGGAGACCTGGGAGAAGCTCTGGCTTCTGGCTTCAGCCTGGCCCAGCCCTTGCTGTTAAGGCCATTTGGGGAGTAAACCAGTGCATGGAAGATCTCTCTTTCTATCTCTTCCTCTTTCTCTGCAACTCTGCCTTTCAAATAAATAAATCTTTAAAAGAATATATAAAGTTTAGTGCAAAAAAAATTGAAATCCACACATATGAGAGCACTTAAAAAGTTCATGGAAAATACACATTATGAAAAGCTATACATGATTTCAAAGTTTCTCTTATATGTATGAGAGAGAGAGAGAGGAACAATCCTATCTACTCGTTTACTCTAAATACTTGCAGTGGCCAGGAGAGCTGAAACCAGGAGCTGGGAACTCAGTTGGGTGGTAGAGACCCAGTTGCCATTAGTGGGAAGATAGCCAGGAGCCAGAACAGAGATCGAATTCTGGTATTCTGATGTGGGACTTGGGCATCCTAACCAGGGTCTTAACCACTAAGCCAAATGTCTGCCCCTACACAATTATTTATTCCATTTTCCATGAAGTTTACCACACACCTTGATATTTAGTTTGTTCTTCTGTCTCTGCTTCTGTCTCTCCTTCTTTTCACCATTCATCCGTAAGGGATCAGGTGTCTGCTCTGTGCCTGGCACAGTGCTGGGCTGAGCCAAGCAGAGAACAAGACCTCCGAGTCCCTGCCCACATGTGGCTTGTGTTCTGGGTGAGGGAGAAACCCAAGACCCGAGAATAAACGTAGGCACTGGAGCAGCGGTCAGACTGTGGCCTGTCAATCTGGCCCACACTTTTTCTTATGTTTTTTACTTTTACCGTGTATTGTATTTAATTTTGATACTTAGGGAGAGAGAGAGGGAGAAAAAGAGAGAGAGAGAGAGACCTACCTATCTCTCATCTTCCAGCTCATTCCCCAGATCACTACAACAGCCAGGGCAGGGCTGGACCCGGCCAAGATCCAGGAAGTCAGTCTGGGTCTCCCACATAGGCTTGAGCCATCACCTGTCACCTCCCAGGGTGTGCCTTAGCAGGAAGCTGGAATAGGGGCCGAGCTGGGACTTGAGCCGGTCACTCTGATACGAAATGTGGGTGTTCCAAGTGGTGTCTTAACTGCTACGCCAGATGCCAGCCCCAATCCCAGTCCCTGCTTTTTACTGCCTGTGTGTGAGCCAACAACAGCTTTTTTATTCTGAAGTAGTTGGAAAAAATGGAAAGGCTATTACGACACATGAAAATGATCTGAAATTCAAATGCCAGTAGCCATCAACATGGTGTAGTGAGACGTAGCCTCGCCCCTCCATCCATGTGTTGTCTGCGGCTGCTCTCACACTGCAGTCGCCATGACAGGGGCTGTACAGCCTGGGAAGTGGGAGCTATAGTGTGTGGCCCTTTACAAAAGTGTCCACTGTCCCCTGTGGTCGGGATAGTGTGGCTAGGGGGTGGCAGGGCAGCCGTGATGGTCCCTGCGGTGTATCTGGTGGTGAGGAAGACCTGATGCGATGCAGGTATTTGAATGAGGCTAAAAGCAGGAAGGAGCCAAGCAGGTGCAATCTGGGGATAAAATATTCCGAGGGGAAGAAAAGTGCAAAGCTTGCAGTCTGGAACCAGATCGGCCTGCTCAAGAAACCGTAAGAGGGCCAGGGCAGCTGGCTCCAGGCAGGGCCAAGGTTAGCACCTAAAGAAACTCAAGCCTCGGAGGGCAGAAGGCTGGGTCTGATGGAAATGGGACCAGAACGTCTGACTTTCAGTATTAATTCCCCAGCGCTCTTTGTGTGCTTTCCATAGAGATATCGTGGATCCGACAGGCGGTCCTGTGCTTTCATAAGCTCAATCTGTGCTCTGGTTAGTTGCTCTGAGATATTGCACACTCTCAGTTCAGGCTGCTCTGCTCGGGCTGACAGCCCCTGGTGGCCTTGTCTGCCAGCTGCTGAATCACCATCTAGTATAGCACGAGAGATGTGTGCAATTATTTGACCATTTTCTCCCGACAGCTTTTAGAAATGCTATGCCCACATAACACGTGCTTATGTTCCTCTTGTAAATGCACCCCGGACACATTGCAGATGGGGCTGAAGTGGCTCATTTACCACCTCTTGTGAAGGATTCGCCAGAGGTGGCCAGAGTTACAGGTTTCTGTGTGTCCTTCCGGGGGACTTCGAGTTACACTCTGATTGCATGGTGTGTGCATGTGAATGTGGAGACGTCGTGCTATCTTGCCATCCTTGCACACGTCGTTGTATCTTTTTTTTTTTGCACTTGCATCTTCCATATGCTGTAGTTTCAGTTGTACTGGGGCTAAAAGCACTTGTGTCTCTGGCTACTTCATACCATCCACTTTAGAGATTGTCTGCTTTAGATCTTTCACATATGGGGCCTTTGGGTTGAATTTTGTTTAAAGAACAAAATTGCTTGCCAGAAAGTTGGCAAACTATTTTATTGTATCCTGCCTTGATTGCCCCAAGAAAAGAAAAGGTGATTAGGAAATGAAAGTGCGGATGGTGAAATGAAGACGTACGCTTCGTGTACTTGAGTTTAGCTGAGGGGGGGGGACATCAGCAGGCGTGGCCCCGGAGGTGAATCCTCAGCTTCCACTGGGTGCTTCCGGGGGGTGGGGGGTGGAAAGAACTTGAACAAATGCAGATGGTGCTTCAGAGGTGTTAACCTGGGATGTGTCTTAATGCCAGGTATGTTCTGGACGATCAGTACACAAGTTCTTCCGGTGCCAAGTTTCCTGTGAAGTGGTGTCCACCTGAAGTGTTTAATTATAGCCGCTTCAGCAGCAAATCGGACGTTTGGTCCTTTGGTAAGCTCCCCGGCCCGTGTGTCCTCAGCTCTGCTCCGTGGAAGAAGCACGCACAGCATCTGAAAATCCCTTTTCCTTTTCCAGGTGTGTTAATGTGGGAAGTGTTCACCGAAGGCAGGATGCCCTTTGAAAAAAACACCAATTATGAAGTGGTAACCATGGTTACCCGCGGCCACCGACTCTTCCGGCCAAAGCTGGCATCCAAATACATCTATGACATGATGCTAAGATGTTGGCAGGAGGTATGGGTGTCTGTGCTTTCTGTTTGGATCTGAGGCACTCAAGGGTTGGGCTTGCTGGGTAGCTAATGAGCAGTCCTTCAAGACCAGGTGAGGCGCTGCGTGTTTTATAGGAAGGCGCCCTTCTCAGCCAAGTTCTGCAGAGTGGGAGGAGGACCATAAAGAACTGGAACATGCTAACAGTGACTTACCAAATTCAGGCTGCTGCCTCGCTCCAAGTGGGAATCTGCTCCCACAGTTGTCTGAGCCAGGGATTCGGGGAGTAAGCCTAGAGAAGTTGATTGAAGTATTACTCTCTATTATTTTTTTAAGATTTTATTTTATTTATTGGAAGGACAGAGTTATACAGAGAGAGGTAGAAACAGAGAGAGAGAGGTCTTCCATCTGTTGGTTCACTCCCCAAATGGCTGCAACGGCTGGAGCTGTGTCGGTCAAAAGCCAAGAGCCAGGAGCTTCTTCCAGGTCTCCCACGTAGGTGCAGGGGCCCAAGGACTTGGGCCATTTTCTACTGCTTTCCCAGACCATAGCAGAGAGCTGGATCTGGAGAGGAGCAGCCGGGACTAGAACTGGTGCCCATATGGGATGCTGGCGCTTCAGGCCAGAGCGTTAACCTCTTCTGCCACAGCGCCGACCCCACTCTTTATTATTTATTTGGCAGACAGAGAGAGAGAGACAGAGAGACAGAGAAAGAGATCTCCCATCTACTAGTTCCCTCCTCAAATGCCTGCAATAGCCACGGCTGGGTTAGGTTGAAGCCAGGCACCCAGAACTTAATCCAGGGCTCCCCCATGGATGGCAGGGGCCTAAGTACTTGAGCCGTCATCTGCTGCCTCCCAGGGTGCACATGGTCAGGGAGCTGGAATCGGAAGCAGAAGTGAGACCTGCACCTGGGCTCTTCCATGTGGGATGTGGATGTCCCAAGTGGTGGCTTAGCCGCTGCACCAAATGCCTCGCCCTGGAGTATTAGTCTTTTTTTTGTTCTTCTTCTTCTTCTTTTTTTTTTTTTTTTTTTGACAGGCAGAGTGGACAGTGAGAGAGAGAGAGAGACAGAAAGGTCTTCCTTTGCCGTTGGTTCACCCTCCAATGGCCGCTGCGGCTGGCGCACCGCACTGATCCAATGGCAGGAGCCAGGTGCTTCTCCTGGTCTCCCATATGGGTGCAGGGCCCAAGCACTTGGGCCATCCTCCACTGCACTCCCTGGCCACAGCAGATAGCTGGCCTGGAAGAGGGGCAACCGGGACAGAATCCAGCGCCCCGGCCGGGACTAGAACCTGGGGTGCCGGCGCCACAGGCGGAGGATTAGCCTAGTGAGCCGCGGCACTGGCCGAGTATTAGTCTTTTAGCAGAGAGAGTTCCTTTCTCTGGACCTCAAGGTCCTCAGGTAGCCTTCCTCAGAGTCTTTGGAGGTTCTAAAAAGTCACCTTAAAGAAGAGATTAGATACAAAATAACTTTGGAAAGACAATAACATTAGCTGGTGGGCACTGTGTGCTAGGTACTATACCAAGGGCTTTAGATTTTGTTCTCAAAATAACCCTTTGAGGTCAGGCCCAGTGGCCCAGTGGTTTAAGCTGCCCTTGGGGATATTCCGGCTGCTCTGCTTCCGATTTAGCTCCCTGTTAATGCACCTAGGATGGCAGTGAATGATGGCTCCAGGACTGGAGTCCCAACCATCCACATAGGAGCCCCAGGTGGGGTTCCTGGATCCTTGCTGCAGCCTGGCCCAGCCCCAACTGTTGGCAGCCATGAGGGGAGTGGGCCAGCAGATGGAAGATCTCTTTCTCTTTCTGTCACTCCCTCTCTCTCTCTGTAGCTCTGTATTTCAAATAAGTAAATAAATCATTCTTACACACACACACACACACACACACACACACACTTTGAGGTGTAGGTACTGTTCCTGTGACTACTGGAGATGAGAAGACTGACACTCATGAGGTTGATGCGTGCCCAAGGCCAGTCAGTGGCAGAGCTGCAGGGACCATCAGATGCCCAAACCCCAGCTCTCAGCCCCCCGCTGCGCAGTGAGTGGCATGGGCAGAGACTTTCTGGGCAGGAAGTGGTACTAGGTGGAGAGAGAACTGGGGAGGGGAGCAGGGGTAAGGAGGTGGTTACAAAGACGGTGTGTGCACCCGAGGACCGAGATGGGTCTGATTTTGCAGAGAGCAAGCACATGGGAGGGTTTTTGTGGGAAATGAAATTGAGTAACAAGGGGATGGGGGAGGGTCAGGTTACCCAGGGCTCTGCAAGCTCTGATCTTGCATGCACTGAGAAGTCCTGTTAGGTTCCAGAACAGGGGCATGAAGGCAGTGCCTGAGAGAGGTTAGTCTAGAGGTGGGCGTGCTGGCTAGAGAGGCAGAGATAGCCCTGGTTAGAGAAGGATGCCTGCATGTTCCAGTCCCAAAGCACCGAGCGCCCCTCTGCAGTAGCGTGGGCTGCACGAGTTTGAGCAACGAGAAATTTTCTTTGGACTGGATTGTGGACCCACCATTCTTTGACTTTTAATTGTAGAAACCAGAAGGAAGGCCTTCCTTTGAAGAGCTGCTGCGTGCCATAGACGAACTAGTTGAATGTGAAGAAAGCTTTGGAAGATAGTGGCACTGGGACCTGCGGCGCCCAGACTCCAAAGCACGAGGAGGAAGCGTCCCTGTGTGGCCAGCCTTCCTTAGCACCTGGCGTGCCGACTGTCTGACTTAGAAGTGGAAACACCTAAAGAGTGTGCTTCAAGACCAACCCTAACTCTGAGATGGGATCTTCCGGATTGCAGAAACGCTGTGTAGAGCGAGATGAGCAGCAGTCACTTCTCTTCACTGCTCGGGCGCTTGAGTGCTGACTGTAGGCTGGCACCGTGCCCAGGCCACAGCTTTGCCTCTTGGAGGCGTGCACGTGGGACCGTGCTAGCTGGTGCCACACGAGGCCAGAGTGTGTGGGAAGGGGAAGGTATTAGACCCATATTCCCGCAACTCCTTTCTCCCTTCGACTTTCCAGAAAGCTGGGCCCGTGGCGTAGTCTAGAACTGGGTTCTAGGTAAATGAGGAGCCTGCCTTGGATAGGTGCCATCTTTTATTTTGAAAACATCTGTTTTCAAGACTGCTATTAAAAATATTTCTATGCTGTATATATTGTAAATATATATAATATATAAAGTTATATATTTATAAGAAACATGAGTTGTCTTTTAATCGAAACTTTTAATTCTGTTATACATGAGCTGAGTGTCTTAGGACTAAAGACTGTGTCCTACGGGTATCAATTCCTTTTCCCCTGGGGATCAAATATTCTTTATTGAAGAGAAGAACATCTGGACCCTCCTGTTGCTATTGCCACATACACACACACCCAGGTAGACGTGTTTCGGGGTGCCTGTCCAGCTTCGCCCCCAGACGGGCCCCGGGAACGGGCTCTCTGAACCCACTCGTGTTGTCCGTAGCTAATTGGAATCATGTGGAGTGAATCAGTTCCTCGGTTTAAAGAAGCTGCCCAGGGCACCTGTGCTGATTGGAAGTGCTGGGCTCTGGAGCGGACCGGGCAGCCCCAGGAGGGCCCGGCAAATGCTCATGCTGTGGCGGGGAGTCCTGGCAACTGCCCAGGGAAACGGAGCGACCGGGCTCCGAGCTGCCTCCCGGATGTGTTTCGGGAGCCCTGGGCGGACCTGGGCACCAGGATCGGGGAGACTGTGACAGCCTCGAGATAGCCCCTGCCTTCCAGCATGCTGGTGTGTGCTGGTGTGGGTGTCCCACCCTCACCACCTGCGACCGAGACGCCAGCTGAGGTGGAGCTGCAGGGAAGATGAACCTGCCCCGGTCACGGCCAGACGGCCAGGTGGCCGAGACCACTGCTGGCCCCACCTGTTGCTCCTGGCATTCATGGTGGGGTGGAGAGGCGTGGAAAACACGGAGCCTTTCCTCGGGGCCGGGGGGGGGGGTGTTCCATGCCCTCGGGGGCTGCTTGGGTGAACCCCAGGCCTGCTCAGAGCAGCACCTCGTCTCTGACCCTGCAGAAGCCTCTCCATCTGGAGTCCGGGTGCCAGGCAGTCTGTCTGCTGAAGGTAGCGTCCATTCTTTCCTGTGCCCTCTGCAGTGGAAACGGTGTTTATCCTGAGTCGGCCATGTTCCTCCTCATCCACCCGTCTGACTTCCTGTCACGGCGACGTGGACGCTTTTTCACTGGTGTGGAGCTCCTTCAAGGGGTTGGTCCCACAGTCCTGCTGTCCCTGGCGGGCCCTTCTCCCTCCGTGCCCCTCCCATCCCTCTATCCTGTCCCTGCCTTTGCTCCTTGAGGAGCTGCGGGTATTGGCGTGAGGGAGGAGAAGGTCAAGGCCATACCCCGAGAAGGTCAAGGCCTTACCCCAACGGTCACACCTGTGAGGGGGACCCCCCCCCCAAAGAGTCAACACCTGGCCACATTGGGAAATGTTTTCCTCAAACATCGTCAGATGTTTTGCGCTGAAACCTAACGTTTTCTATATGAAAGCACAGCTAAGGCAAAAGGTAAGGGAAAGGCCAGAGGTGTCCCCGCCGGAGGTGCAGGCAGAGCGGCGGCGGCGGCGTCCTCACTGTGGTTTCCCCGGTGAGATTTTGCTTACGGTTTCCACTGTGATGAAGCGAAGCGCCTCAGCGTGGTCTGCAGCGTGGCTGTGGATGTCAGCCCTGTGTGGAGTAGAAATGAGGGCCCTGGCAGCCCCTACCCCGTGCGAGCACAGAACATTCTGGGCTGCATGTTCCCAAAGCTGCATGTTTCCCCCAGGAACCGTGGCCTTGGGCCCATCCCTCTTCCTATCAGTTCCTTTATGTGAGAGGGCGTTTGAGTTGATTTTTAAGACCTCTTTGACCACAGTTTTGGGGTTCCTTGGTGATGTTTGCTGGGGCCACTCAGGTCTGGGCCCGAGGAGCTGAGAGAAGCCCCTTCACAGAAGTGGGTGCAGACGAGTGCGCTTTCGATGTAGGCCATCAGGTTGTCATTCACACGCCCCGTCTGAGGTTTTGAGAACAGGAAAATAGGTGGGGCTAACTGTGCCTGTGAGAAACGTCCTGGTGAGCTATGATTTCGGTTCAAAGCCGTGCCTCTGTGAGTGCAGCACAGCCGAAGAACCGAAGACGGTTTTGTTTACCCCCGCGAGCTGCAGCCATGATTCTGTCCACCTGTGAGTACCGTGGGCCTCGTCCCCTCTCTCTCTCCCTCTCTCTCTCGGCTTGTTCTGGGCGTGTGACTTTACTCTCAAACACCGCAAGTTTTTCCTAAGGCGTAGAGCTTGTGAAATTGTGAAGATGATTTCCACAGATGTTGTGACAGCGTTTTGTTTCTTATTTAAATAACCACTGTGGTGATTTAATTGTGGTCACTGCCCAGCATGGAGAGCACGGGTGGAAAACAAACACCATGTCCTTCCATCTATGCCACGGTGCTGCAAGAGCTGGGGAGAATGGAGAGCAAAGACGAGTTAGATTTGCTGTGCAAACAGCTTTGAAGTGCATGCATTGTTTTTTCGTAATGTGCATTTCCCACAAGCTTTTTGAAGACCCCTGTGTGCACTGATTTCAAAAAAATTTCAAAACCAATGTCTTGAATTCCCTTTTCCACAAACTGGCGGTTTCTCATGTGTGCGTAGAAATGCATCGGTGTGACGTGTTGTTAAAATACCCAGTGTAATCAACTTGGGACTAAAGGCCAGGAGACCCAGTTCTGGTTCGGGACTTGTCGCCAGCTTGGCGGTCACCCTTGGTAGCTGCTTTGTGTCAGGTCTCTTATCTGTAAAATGAGGACTCCCTTTCAGCCCACCTCCCAAAAATGTCTCATAAGCAATGGATACAAATGACAGGTGCTTCATGAACTTGACTTTGGTTGCTTTCCAAGATTATTCAGGGCACTCATGTAATTTTTGAAAATATTTGTTAATTTTTGAAAATATTTGTTAGAGTTAGCTCTATGATCCTAAGGCCTGGGAGGGCCTTATTATTTATAAGTAGTTTAAAGATAAGAGAAATGCTAGTTTTGATTTGAATTATGGATGCCTATAGGACCAAATTTAACAAAGCTCAGTCTGATCAGAGCAATCAAAGGCCAGCTAACGGTCAAGGTTTTGCGTTTCTGATTTTTCCGTGGCATCGGGAAAGCCCAATTGTAGTGTTTGAGTGTCGGCTGTTCAAGCCCAGTTACTGCACAGGGCCAACACTTGTCGGTATAATTTATAAAACAGCAAACCAGGCTATTTCAGTTGTGCTGACCTGAATATAACAGTCATCATCCACACAGATGAAAACGAGGCTGCCCCTTAGACATGCAGGCCAAGCAGATTGGAGCAGAAAAACGAAAAAGCAGCAACCTGTGTGTCCCCACCTCCCCAGGGAGCTGAGCAGAGGCGTAGCAACAGTTGTTAAATATAGAAAGCTGCACGGGCATGTGTCTTGGGTTTTCCCTGAGGTCGGTGCTGGAGAGAAGGCTGTACATTACAAGAGGAAGGGTTCGGTCATATGCGACATAAATAATTGTGAGGGTGGAGAGGTGGAGACGAGGGTTAGCTTGCCTGAGGGTAAAATCAGAGCCTGTTGGTGGGATATTTTGGGGATCACTGATGGCCTTGCTGAGGCTTCCCTGTCCCACCAGCTTCTGATTTGATTTGATGGTGAGACTTGCCTGCTTTTGTTTTTGTTTTCCTGCCCTCCACTAAAGCTAGATAGAGCCCTGTTCTCTCTGGGTGAAAACAACCAGGGTTTATTGTTGACAAGGGGCCAGCTGAACGATGCCTGGAGGCGTGTTGGCCAGAGTCGTTTGTGAAGTGAGTTTGCTGTGGTAAGAGCTCGCTGAGACTTGGCCCTGCGGGCTGCTCCGAGGTTAATCATCCAAGCGAGGATAGAGGATCGTGGGGAACAGGGGAGATTCTGAGTATCAGGGCACTGCTCCAGTCAGGTTCAATTTGTGAAAATGAGCAGCACCTGTACTTCCTTCAGCCCACAGCTGCCCTGAGAACAGAACAGCCCTGGGGTTAACGAGGACCAGGCCACGCTGAGAAGTGAAGATTCTGCCTCTCAGCCTCCTCCCCCTCCTTCCCCCTCTCCCTCCCCCTCCCTCTTTCCCTCCCTCTTTCCCTTTCTCCTCCTCTCCTTCTCTCCCTCCCCCTCCTCCCTTATATAAATATATTGTTCTATGTTCTGTGCCTTTCTTCCCCATGAAAGAAAAGATAATCATGTGGGAGGTGGTTCAGTCTCTGTCCTGGAGCGGCCCGGGGCCACTGATGAAATGCGAGGTTCTGGGCCGTCTCTGTAATTTGATCTGAGCGGGTGAGGATAGTACAGTGCCTCTCCTTGAGTGAAGTGGACCGAGCCCCTCCCTTCGCAAGGACGGACCTTGGCCAGGGGGATGGATGCCCGCGGTGGGGGCTGGGTCTCTAAAGGCAGGGCACTGGCCGGCCTTCTGTGAGCACGCACGGCCTGTGGACAGTCCCCGGGCACCAGGAACCAAGGCAGCAGGGCCGGCCAGCAGCCTAATGAGTACTTGGAGTGGAGTCCCCAGCTCCAGTTCAGCCTGCTTGAGGACAACCTCACGAGAGACCGTGAGCTAGAGGCATGAGGCTAAGCGGCTCTCGGGCTCCTGACCCATGGGAGCTGGGGGATGAAAAATTAAGTCACTAAGTCTGGGAACAGCTTCTTCCCAACCGCACATAACTGCAGCTACGCTTTTTTGTTTTTAAAGATTTATTGATTTGTTCATTTGAAAGGCAGACTTAAAGGGGCCGGCGCGGTGGTGTAGTGGGTAAAGCTGCTGCCCTTGATGCCAGCATCCCATATGGGCGCCGGTTCTAGTCCCGGCTGCTCCACTTCTGATCCAGCTCTCTGCTATGGCCTGGGAAGGCAGCAGAGGATGACCCAAGTGCTTGGGCCCCTGCACCCACGTGGGAGACCTGCAAGAAGTTCTGGCTGCTGGCTTTAGCCTGGCCCAGTGCTGCCTGTTGAAGCCATCTGGGAAGTGAACCAGCAGATGGAAGATGTCTCTTTCTCTCCCTCTCTCTGTAACTCTGACTTTCAAAATAAAGAAATCTTCTTAAAAAATAAAAATGGAAGAGCTACAGAGAGAGACAGAGATCTTCCATCCAGTGGCAGGAGCCCAAGCACTTGGGCCATCTTCCGCTGCCTTCCCAGGAGCGTAAGCAGAGTCGGGTAACCCCTTGCACCACAGTGCTGGTCCCCAGAAGCTACTCTTTGACATTCCCTTTGGGTGGCTTCCCTGCCATCTCATGTGGATATTCCATTGTGTGTGTGTGTGTGTGTGTGTGTGTGTTTAGCCCACCCAGCTAGCGTCCCCAGCACATTCTGCCCCTGGCGGGTCGGGCCGCCAGTTCTTGCGGCTGACCCCTTTTTCACGTAGCAGTCTGGCCAGATGTCTTGGGTGTGGTATCGGTGAACTTTGCAAGAACTTTGAGCTCACACACACCAGAGTTCTAGGAAACACTGCTCTGAGATGCGGGGGTGGGAGGGGTCGCGCAAGGTGACTGCGAAGTCCAGCTCACGTGAGCTCATTGCTGGGAAGTGCCTGAGTTCCGGCAGAGAGCAGGCAGCTGCGCCAGGGTGCTGAAAGTGTGCTTGGTGCCCTGGGCTGAAGCAGGGAAACCCATGCGCCATCTTCAGGGCCGCCTGGCCGCTTCTCCCTGCCGCACTTTCCCTCCGGGGAGCACCGGCGGCGCCCCCCGAGGGGCCAGGGCCGCATCCCTGCTTCCCAGATGTCACAGCCCCCCCAGCCCCAGAAGGGCCAAGCCCGGTGCTTCTCATGGGCTGAGTCCCGCTTGCGCCTAGTGCAGCCATTCTGCCCCATTCAGGCTTCAGAGTATAATGTCACAAAGCAAGCCGGAAACAACCAAACAGGTTTGGGTCTAAAAGGCACGCATCTGCGTGTGCCCCCCCCCCCCATAATTTAATACCTCAGACGTATAAGGGGCCTAAACGCATAAGAAAGGTAGCTTTCTAAATGGAATAAACATTTCTAGGAGAACCTCAGCGTATCGCTGCTTCTTTTTTCCCTCCCTTCCTCTTGGCTTGGTGTCTGGGAAGTGTCTGCTAATTCCTGACCAGAGGTAGAGATCTTTCGGGAAAGTAGGCTGTGGGGCAGGCACGCGGTGCCACAGGTTAAGCTGCTCACATCCTATTTTAGAGCCCCTGGGGTTGACCCCCCCCCTCCGGTTTCCAATCCAGTTCCCTGCTAATGCACACCCTGGGGGGGAGCAGGCAATGGGTACTTGGGTTCCTGCCATGCACATGGGAGACCCAGATGAAGTTCCTGGCTCCTTTCAGACTGGCCCGGCCCCACTTATTGTGGGCATTTGGGGGAGTAAATCAGTAGGTGGGAGATCAATCTCTGTGTCACTCAAATAAATAAAAGTAAATGCACTTCAAAAAGCTGGTGGCATCACACCTCCCAGATAACACAGCTGACACCGTTAAAATGTCTTCCACAGGGATCTTAGTGTGGGTATGTGTGGTGGAGTGAAAAGAACATCCAGTTTTTAAAATTTTATTTATTTTATTTTGCCAATGGCTGGGAAATGGAAGACGTCTTGTGGTAGACTTACTGGATCTGAGGCATCTCCCCAAAGCTGCAGGTTTCCCAGGCTCTCCCACAGCCCCAGAGAGCCCCTCCTCCCGCAGGGGCAACCTGGAGCGCCCAGGTTGGGCCGCAAGCCCAGCAGCGTTGGAGCTGAGCCAGTTTCAAGCTATGTTTTGAAATAGAAATCTCTAGCCATCTGCCGGTTACGTTGATGAGCAAATTCAGGAGGAATGAATTTCACCCGGGGCACTGATTGAAAATGAAACTCCGACATCGGAAATGGAAGGGGACGAACTCGAGGTGATGCTGACGTCAACCCCAAGTATTAGGGGTGTGTGTGTGTGTGTGTGTGTGTGTGTGTATGTGAGTGGCCAGCAGGGCAGGGAATCACAGTGGCTTTGCTTGCAGCCGGCCCTGGAGCCACAGCTTTTCCCCTCCGCTGCATTAGTAGTGCCCCCTGGTGGAAGCCCGTGAAAGGAACGTCAACAGGAGCCACAGGACGTAGTTTGCCCAGGAAAGAACCTGAACGGTAAATAAATCAGGTTTGATTGGTAGCCCAGGAGGGCCGGGCCAGTTCCTAAAGGTCACAGAGATTGCTCTGGATGCGGT